ATTTTTTAACCAATAAGAAGGCATAAAAGTCATGCGTCCGTAAGAGTCATGCGTCCCTAGTAAAACAGTCATGCGTCCCTATCAATTGCCTTATTTTTAGTCGAATGTAAGCCAGTATAAATTTTCAATGTAACACTCACTTGTTTGTAACACTCGCTTATCATGTACGTTAGTTAATATCGTAATAGCCTGTAGCTTTCTTGCATCTGCATTATACTTAGGTAGTTTTACATTTTATTTAGACTGCCTATATGGCTATAGTACCTTAAAACTTATTAGAGGAATTGCAATAGTTGCCAGATATATTATACTGGTTTTATATTTATTGTCTAATTATCTTTAGCTTAAGATATAAATATATATATGAGAATTGCTATACGGGCATGACGTTTTGGCTACACTGGCATGACTCTTACACGGGCATGACTTTTGTGGCATCTGATTCGCTAGATTTCTGTCGACTCATAGGTACATCCTCGCAAAGGTGGTGAAGCCAGCTTCACTAGCAAGATCTTCCTTTCAGTGTAGAAGCAATTAGGTCGGGCCACCCCCCTTCAGCAGATCTTGGTCTTGCGCAGGCGTCAGAATAAGGTCTGGTTTTCTATACAGAACAAAGCGAACTCTATTACGCAGGAGACCGCACCGTTTTCGTTCGTAAAGTAATGTGACTCGGTGTCTTCGGTTGTGATAGAGGCTTTTCGATTGGAGATCACAAACTACCAGGTTTTATCATTTCTACTGTCTTCTGGTGTTGGGTTAAACTCGACTATGTTCAAACTAAAATACGCCCTCAACCGCATGTCTGCACAGCTATTTTACCGTTCTATATCCTCAATTGCTTAGAGCCAACTCTTCTCGCGCTCAACAATTCGGTATTATTCGAGCAGGGCCACTCACCTAAACCTGTCAGTATATAATTTGAAGAGGGGTATCGATTCTTGCGTTATTGGCGCTCTATCGCAATCAAGGCTAGTAGGGGAGATCTTGCTAACGTGCACCTTTGGGAAAGTGCGATCAGAATGAAGAATAAGTGGGGGGTCAAGATGGTTTTGCCCATATTTGGAAGAACCTCGCTACGTGCACGGGCCATATTCTGTGTAATTCGACACATTACATTCAGCCCTTGTTACAGTAGAGGATATTGGAGGAATTGAGCATGGCCTTAGTAACATAAACAGGGCTCATTTGCAGCTACCGAATGCAGGCATAATACTGATAAACAGTTTTCCCTGCTACGTTCGTACTTAGGTAGGACATTTGTCAACATCTAACTCCGCTATTACATACTCCCGTATCACCATTGCTACCTTGCCAAGCACTCCCTGACTCTGCCCCGACTTGGACGCCATCTCCTTAGCCGCTACGGCAAATACGAGGCCCGCGATATCGGCGACATCGGTCGTGACATACGGCATAAGAGGTAGGCCAATATCGTCTGCCTGTGCTCGCACCTTCTCGAGTAGCCCTCGAGCCATTTTATGCATGGCGAAGTAATCAAACACAAGGTCAGGCATTTCGGTCTGGATGGCGTGGGCGACGTAGTGCACGAGCTGCGGCGCGGTGAGAGTTGGGTGTGCTGGCGCTGCCTTGGCTTTGGCCTTGATCTTCCTATCTGCTGCAGCTCCAGCCTGGAACTCAGTTTCAGCGACCCCGTCCTTCTTCGCTTGTTCCTCCTGCTGTATTTTGAACCATCCACTCGTCTCCAAGATCTGCTGCATCACTTCGGCATTCCAGGCCCTCCTTGTCGGTTCTGCTATCGCGCGCTTTTCCATCCGCGCTGCACAGCACAGCGACACGGGCGCCCCGAACTTAAGTTCGCGGATGCCGGCGCGCGACCTCTGCAGGAGCACCTTGCCATGCTTGCCCTTGCGCCGGTTCGCGGCTGCGAGCCAATTGGCCGGCGATACGCCGCGACTCATGCAGTAGTTCTTGAAGTGGGCCTGTAGCGATGCCGGCGGCTCCGTGCCGACGAAGAAGGCCTGGAGTCCTTGCATCGCGACGAGGCGGTCGAGGTCTGGCCATTCCGGCACTGGCACCAAGTGCTCTTCTTCTTCTTCTTCTTCTTCTTCTTCTTCCTGTTGTTGTTGTTGTTGCTGCTGACGCACCGCCGTGTACAGTTGCACGGCATGCAGCACGGCGCCAGGCTTGGCGGCGTACCTGACGCCGGTCTGGTGGAGCAGCACACGTGCGTAGTGAATCCACAGGCCACAAAAGAGCGGGTTATGCAGGAGAAAGGACGAAGACCGGCTTGCCCTGTCATTACGACTGCTGCGGTTGAGAGCCATCCGGGAGGCCGTAAATATATCCACGCCGTTTAGCTTGACCGTGACCATCTTGCGCATATCCTCTAAATCTTTCATCGCATCGTTTTGATGATGGTCTGCTAGGTTTGCACGATCGAGCAGATCGGCAGTGATCTCGTTGAAACGATGAAACTCAGCCAGGACCTTCGTGATGTTGGGCCCGAAGGAACGTAGCGTGTCAAGGTAGTTCTGCACCGCGAAGCACAGCCAGACCGGGATCTCCTGCGTCTCGAACATGTATTTGACGCCGCGCGCGAACTCGTCAAGCACAGGGATGCCTTCGATTTCGAACAGCAAGGTGATATCGGGTACTACTTCCAGAAGCGCGGCCTTGTCCTGCGCCCACCGCTGACGGTTATCCGTAGTCTCTAGATGCGCTCTCTGCGCGTCATACCACCCGAACTTACCGGTGTAGCAAGGCATTTGTCGTGCGCTGTGCGGCGCGGCCGTCCGAATCGCTTCGAGCAAGCTAGCAGCATTGTACAGAAACGTGGCGCCTATATCATAGCATGCGAAGTTCATATCGTCAGAAAACCGCTCCTTCTGGAAGGGATCGAGACCTAGGTATTGACAGACTTCGCCGAAATACTTCGGCAGCAGCGCCAACACGCCACCATGATTCTTCAGCAGCGGCGCCATCTCCTCTTCCATGCTGCGCGCGAGCTCGATAGCCAAATTGGCACCAACCGCAGCGGCAGGCAAGTCGATCGTCCCACTGCGATACTCATTCCACAAGTTGCTAACCTCTTGGCGAAGTTTGATGAAGTCCTTGAGCAGGGTTATGAAGGCGAATATGCACTCAGTCTCCGACTCGTCATTTTCAACTGTGTACTCGAGATCAATAGGTGAAGATGGAGCAGGAAGCACCACATCGGGCGAGTCTGAAAAGTTCTCGGATGGCTCATAAACTTGCAACACCTGAAATAGACTGAAGTCCCGGATCTTAGCTTCCACCACTGAGTTATCGTGGATGGCATTCGTAGCGTCTTTCTCAGACGCCATATTAAATGCAACGCCGCTGCCGCCTTCAACTTTGAACAAGGCATAGCGAACCTTCTCCAGCACGCTGACGAAATATGCATGCGCTGTATTTGCCCGCACGCTGAGATGTTTGTTGGTCTCGCTAAGGTGCATTGAGAACATCTTCCGGACACGGATCGCTCGCTCCAGGGCCGTGCGAAAGAACAACGGGATCCCAGCCCCATTATTGGCTTCTATTGCGGTCGTTGTTGTCAACTCGCGGGCGATGAACTCGGCCAGCGGCACGAAGTCTCGAATGGCAAGCACATACTTTGGCTTCGGCGGTGGATCAGGTGCATCCTTTTCGTCTATGCCTGAAGGTGCGACATGTTGCTTTTGCTGCTGCTTAGCCTCCTTGCGCGCCTTGCCCTTCAGGCGGCCGGATGAGGGGGCAGCACTCTTGTTGGCTGCCGCACCTGCGGTAGGGGGTGCTGCGAGCGAGGTCGTGTATCCATGTTTCTTGGCAGTTGAGGCTAGCCATGAAGCGACGATGTCCGTGTCGCGTTTGTATTGCTGGTATATTGAGAGAAAGCTGGTGGATGGCATTTTGAAAAGTTATCCAATTCCGAAATGCAATGGATTTTAGTCTGCCCCCCGAGTGTGCACGGACGAAAATGATGTATTACGACGCATTTTATGGGAAATTGGAAGGACGTCAAGCGTGCACGGGCCAGATTCTGCGTAATTCGACAAATTACATCGAGCTCTTGCTACAGTAGTAGTAGCCTCGTCCACCATTGTGGCCAACTCTAATTTGAGCACATTTTTAATCGTTTATTATGCCTTCTAAACTTTCATCAGCGCGCAAACGCAGTAGGCCGTCTCTCAACCGCCGCAAAGAGGTTGAGATTCAAGACGATGAGCCATCCGATGATTCAATCCGCGTAAATCAAAAGTCAGAGCCGGCTCAAGTGAATGGACAATATGAAGCCCGTCTTTCAACATCAAAATCCAACTCCAAGGCAGCAGAACCAAACACTCGCCTTCGGCGGAGCCATCAGCTGCCTTCCCGATTAGTTCACGATACACCTCAGAGCACCATTCGCCACTCTGGGGAATCAGAGGAGCATACGACAGCGTCTTTTGCCGAATCCCGCATGGCTCCTTCAGTGAAGCGGCAAAAGACTGATGACGTCCAGTCCCGAGTATCTCAAACGTCTGGACTATTAGATTGGAACGCACTTCTAGTAATAATGATCCCCCAACCAAGTTTATTCTGCCATAACCTAACTACTCTACAGCCCTCTGGAAATGAGTTTAAAGAAAGCTTGAAGACTGCCTCAACTGCCTTGGCGCCATCCGTCAAGGGCTTCGAGCAGCTTTTAACATCTATCAACGATGAACACAGCAAACTTACCGCCGTTAAGGGCAGTCTCTCTTCCCAAAGGGTCGAGCTAGCCAAGGACCAGAGAAAGGCTTCGGACGCTCTCAAGGATGTTGAGACATCAACAGCCACCGAGAATCAAATGCTCAGAGACCTCGAAGATGTCTACAACAAATATCCAGGAGACAAAGAGCTTCTCATATTCCTTGAAAAGCGAAAGAAAACGAGCGATGAACATCAAGAGGTATATACTATCGTCAAAAGCCAACTCGATAAGAGCTCAGACAGACTTTCCAAAACCGAAAACGAGCTTGCGCTGGTTACTGGGAGGCTGAGTCAGCTCGAGGCTGAAAGGGCTGAGGTCATGACGGAGAAGGAGGGAGTTGATAAGGCGGCAAAACAATTGGTGGTTATGTCTCGGTTCTTGGAACCTGGTTGGCAAGCTACTCTGGACATGCTTGAGCAGGTTTCGGGGATGACGCTCTGCGAACTGCCCTCTTTGTGGGGTTTTCATTGTTGTGAGTGATGCTTGAAGTTGTAATATTAGGGGTGTACGCTTTATCAAGCTGGTGTTGGCGTGGATGGGATACCCCTAGTAGTTAATAATAATATCAATTGTATTAGAGTTGATGTTTCTGCTACACTTTATATAGGGTAGAGTTGATTTAATGAGCATGTTTATAGAGGAAGACTTTAGGTCAAGTTCATTTAGGAAAATGTTATTAGTTACTTCTTTACGCTCCTAAAACTAGGTATAACAGATAGTAGGCGTTTGTAAACGTATGTTCTCTATAGTTTTCTCACCACATTAGGGGTTGCTCCAGCTTAAATAATAACCCAATAAAGCGTAAACGCAGGGGCCATGATTTCGTGTATCAGGACCTGATACTGGGGGTAATTGGTACAGTAGAATCGTCTGCGAATGATACCTAGGGTGGATAAGCTATGAAAGCTAAAGTACGCGTTCACTCGCGTGTGTGACGCGCCGATTGTCAATCGAAGTGGGACAAATCAGTCGCTATGGATTAAATGGGAATAAACCGGAGATAGTCAAGCACCTGAGAAGTAGACAGGGGTATGCGACAATTAGGGGTACACGACAATTAGGAATAGAAGAGTAGGGTTGTAACATAGTAGATTTTGCAAATGGTAGACTCTATCTCCTTCTTTCTCTTATATAAGGCTTATATATAAGCAGGTTTATAAGCTTTACTTTCCTGTAACTGTATACTCTATACTTTATAATAGGCTTTTATGTAGAAGAAATTTCCAATTCCCATTTGATAATTATATAACTTACCTTATATAATATTAATGGACATGCTCCTTCTCTTCTGCTTTTGGGATCCTAACCATTGTCGCTGTAATAAGCGCGCCAGTAAGCGCAGAGGCCAGCCCAAACCACCAAATCGCCTTGATACCCTTGAGCCCAATCTCCTCATTCGGCAGCATCTCCACCCTTGATCCAATTGCCCAGCTGATACTCGTCATGATAGCCACCGTGAGGTTCTGCACCGTGACTAGCAGGCTACCCGCCGCGCCCTGGTAGCTCCTGGGAACACTGCTCGTAATGAAGATGGCTGCTGCCGTGAAGCTCATGTCTGGGCCAAACGTGGCGAGAATAATGCCCGGCAGGGAGAGAGCCCAATAGCTCGTGGATGGGGTCTGGGGCAAGAAGAAGACGGGGCCAAGCGCAAAGGCGACCATACTAGCGGTGAAGATAACATGCATAGGCACGACATGGAGCGTCTTGGAGACGATAAAGGCGGCGAGAATTCCAACGAGGCCATTAGGAAGGATGTAAAGGGTCGTGGTGAGAGGCGAAGCGTTCTGGTATCGCTGCCAAAATTGAATGGCATAGAATTGCCAGGCGCCGCCTGCAAACCACCATTAGTTAATCATAAGCGGGCAATTCCAATGGAGTGCAATGACTCACTATATGCTCCGAGGCCCAGGAAATAGGAAATAAGAAGAGCGCCGAATCCTCGAGTCTTCCAGAGGTTGTTAGGTATAAGTGGGCGGGTCACCCGCTTCTCGACAAAGTAAAAAGCCACGAGCATGAAAAATCCAACAACGATGGCGGAATACGTATAGGGACTCCAGTTGGCTGGAGAGCCCTGGGTCAGTCCAAAGATGATGAGGGTGCTACCAATCGAGGCTAGACCGGCGCCAGCATAGTCGAATTGGCGTATAGACGGCGCTTCAGAGTCGGAGCTGTCCTGGGCCGGAGAAAGGGCCGGGATGGTGAGATGCGCAGCAAGACTCAAGAAAGAGAGGAGAATAGCAGTGCTGCCAAAGATCCATGGGAGATGGGCGCTCAAGGCCCCAGCCTGGAGACATCCCAACCAGTATCCAAAGGGTGAAAAGGCAGCCATTAGACTGAAGACGCGCGTCTTACGGATGCCCGGTTTGTACACGCGGCCCAGAACGCTCATCGATGCCGACACAAGCACACCAGCAGCGAGTCCCTGCATCGCTCGTGCGAAGAAGAACAGCGCCTTGAGCCGCAGGCTGACTGATGCGGCGGCGATGGCCATCCAGAGCGTCTCCCAAAGGAAACCGCCGACTAAGAGGGGCTTGGGGGCGAGCAGGTCGGCCAACGATCCTGAAACGATGACGGACAGACCACAGGGCAGCATGGAAGCGCCAAGTAGCCAGGGAATCTCGGAGGGCGGGAGGCCTAGGGCGGAGGCAAAGATGTACTGGGTAACGGCAACGTGGCCGATGAGTATGGCAGAGACGAGCTGCCCGCCGGAGCAGGTCAGCACAAAGACAACTTCGGCAAAAATGCTGGGAAGCTCGGGAGGTAGACCTTGAGAGGCGGGGGGCTCGGACTCGGAAGTGCCTTGTTCTGGAGCCTCGGTGTTGAGCAGACCGGAGCCAGCTGGAGATTCACCGGCGTGACCGCGAATGCGGCCCAGCTCGAGGCCCAGACTGGCAGAGGGCTCATTCATGACGACGGCGCCTTGTAGAATATTCCGCGAATCAATCCGCTGTTGGTCTACCATACTTTTCCTGGTTGTAAATTGAGCGCTTTCTCGAGTATCTGCTTGGGAAAGGCGGAAGAATAAGCCAAAGTCCTGCTGGGAGGTAGGGTGGGGGAATGAAACCATTGCGTTTCTTGAAGCATGACATGAGCTTTTTGCTTGGGATCACGTGGAAACCACAAGAAATCATGCTTCAACCTGGTAAGGGACACACAACAATGGTTACGTGGTTTGTGTTGGTCCTGGTCTTACCCTTGAGGTTGGAGGGGTACCAGGACGGAAGGGAGCTGACGTCACAAAGTGCATAATCATATCCTCCCTCAACCGCACAGTGAGAATTCCCTTCGCTGACGATAAGAAACCTTGTGCACTAAACATCAACGCTGCGGCTTCATCTCACCTTGTATCGACACGCTCGGCCCAACAGCCACCATGGTACCGACCTCAGTTCGATATGCTCGCGATCATAGTCAGAGTCAATGCTTGCCATGGGCATCACACAACTCACGCAATAACGAGGATGCTAAAAAAGCGAGCGGGAATGGCGACGGGTAAATTGCCACATGCAGGCTTCTTCCCATAGCCGTAACATGCCCCCTGCGCGGCTTATTGCCACCGGATCATATTCCCCGGCCATGCACAGGGGTTGGTACTCAAATGCTCGACGTAGAGGGTCCCATTTCGGACATGGCTTGAGCTCTGCGCCCGCGTAGACTTTGCGTTGTCAGACGATGTGATGATGTACACGTCCGGGCAGCAAAGTCTTTGGTCGGCAAGGAACTGAGCACCGAGTCGGCCAAGGTGGTAAGAGTGTAAACAAAATCAAGTGATAAATCGGTCCTCCCAGACAGAAGACAACTATTTTCACCTACTGTACCAATTACCCCGCGTATCAGGTCCTGATACACGATTTGATGGTCCGTGCCCTTTGGTATTGGGTCCTGGCGGTTAATAGGCGGACGGGTACCCGTCCCAGTTACCATAGCTGGTATAGCTCACTCCGCTAGCGAGATTGTCTACATGTATCATTATGAGCAAGTTGTCGAAGCTATGAACCCTGCCCTACGGCTTCAGATGCAGCTGGGGCATTCAAGGCACGTACTTCTGACAACCTGGGACTGGGCTGTTGGGGCAATTATTCCGGAGTCGGATCATTCGGTCCTCGCTCCAAAGAGCAATCGCGCAAAACGATAACGCCCTGAACAACGTCGTTATTCCATCACCTCACCCAACTGCAACTGCAACACCAACAGTGACGCAATGTTCTTGACTACCGCAATTCGTTGTGCCAACAAAGCATCACAATCAAGTCATCTCCCAATACCTGAACCTCCTGGCAATGCCGTGCTTTTTGCCCGGATGCTCCGATGCGCGTTTAGGACTCAAAGCAAAACCGCATTTAATACATATAATAGCTGCTTCCGGCAAATTGTGATAAAGGCTAAGTCTTTCAAGCTTCTGCAGCTTTGTCGGTAGTAAAGTAGAATGGCTATATTGCCCTATGAATAGAGGAGCAGGCCATTATGACTAAATATATATAAATAAAATATGGTGACACCCTCACCGGAGGTGGGGAGGGCGTAATAAAGTCCGAAGGATGTATCTCTATGCTATGGAGGATTGTCTGAGATGAAATTTCATATTGCATTGCTTATATTGCTAACTGTGGATGTCGTTAAGATTTTAAGAAAAAAGAGGATGGAAAAGGGGCTGATCAAGTTGCTGTTGCCTCCGCCGGTCCTGGTCGCGGACCTTCATCAGAATACCTACTAATCGGTTAGGACTTATAGAGCCTCACGTGGAACTATTCTTGCCATCAGGTAGCTTGTCATAGTGGAGAGATGCCCGTTCAAATGGGGCATCGATCATTAACCCCTCTAGCATCTTGACCCTCGACACTGCAACGTAGCTAAGCCCCGTCTGAAAGTCCCGTTCAGACAGATCCGTCACCATCTTGTCCACCGTGATGCTCTGTGACTTGTGAACCGTAATGGCGTACGACACTGTAAGTGGGAACTGCTTCCGTGTACACGCGGACGTCCCAAGAAAGAAGTCTCGCTTCACGGGGAGTATGGGTACTACCTCGCGCCTATCATCAGTGGTTAGATAAGATGGCCCGGTATACTTGTCTATCACCATCATAATGACACACGGCGGGTCACGATGTGTATCAGCGCCAGGTGCCCAGCCGATGTCATACACTATCCCCTGGGCCCCATTAACCAGGCCTGCTGGCTGCCAGATGTTCTGGGTGATCATGAGGCGAGCACCGATACATACCGGAAACTGGCCAGCCAGGTTGCCAGCCTGTTCAGATGTTGCCTTGTCAGCACCGTTGCCAATGTTCTTGGCCATGACTTGGATTGCTGGCTGCTTCAGACGGACTAGGTGGTCGTAGTTGTACTCATTGACACGAGCTTTCTTGCTATAGATCCGGAGAGTAGTATCGAACTTGTCCACCTCGCACTGGCTTAGCTTGGCCTGCACACGCTGGCTCAGAAGTTTCCATGATTCGATGGATAACCTCAGACCGCGCAGTTCTTCAAGCGCGAGACGAAAGCCAGCCTGGTCGTCGCCTTGCTGCCGCTCGACCTTCTTCAAGAAGACAGTGTGGTTGAAGGCCCTATATGCCGCCTGGCCAGAGACCTCGTGCAGGTCCTTGAGCGGCCCATCAAAGTAGAGGGGCTTGTTTGCAACCGGCGGGAGCTGGAAGAAGTCGCCAACGAGGATGATGCTCATGCCGCCAAAGAAGTCGGCTGCTCTGCCGGGAAAGACTTGGCGGAGGCGTTTGTCAACCCACGAAAGCTGGCGCAGACCCAGCATACTCTTCTCGTCAATCACGAGATACCGAACGTCCCGTAGCTTCTTCTGGATAGCATTAGCATCTGCTGGCGATAGCTCTGTAAAAGCTCTATCAACGGGTAGCCGGAGAAGGGAGTGTAGAGTTGTCCCCATGATCTGGTTGCTTGCAACACCCGTGGGTGCAGCTCTCCAGATCGGACTGGGCCGGTCACCAGCGAGCCTCTGAAGATGCGAAGACAGGACTTTGATCATGTAGGACTTGCCTGTCCCGCCGCCACCGTCAACGTGGAGTAGAATCTGCTCCTCGCTGCCACACTGAAAGTGTCCAACAAACGTATCGTATACTATCCGCTGCTCCGGGTTGAGCGTATCGCGGACCTCTAAAGGCAGGTCCTCAACATCCATATCGAGACGATCCTGCTCGATCCGCTGGCGCCAATAATCGCCCTGAACGATTCCTGGGTCGGCGTAGCGGCCGACGTGGGGTGTCCAATCGTATTGGATGTCGATATCCCGTCTGCCAAGAAGATCTATTGCCTCTTGGCTTGGTGGGCAGTCGGGAAGCTGACGGGCAAGCTCAAGCCAGTCCTCCTCCACAAGGTCAGGTTCGTGAAATTCCCGCTCGAACTGATCCGGATCTGGTCGACGTTCATCGGTGTTGGGTGTGCCGTAGTAATCATCAGGGTGCTGGTGGTTCCCGTAACAGAATTCGGCGGCAAGTGCGTAAGAGGCGTACTCGACACCGTTGACCTTGCGTAGTTGGTTGGGATCGCGATGTGGATGGGCCAGCATCAACTTGACGCGGCAAAAATCATCGTATTGGTCATGTTGACGGTTAGAGCTGTACCGCGGGAAGTAGTATAGAACACGAGGCTTGGCTTGACGACCCCAACGTGTCCACTTTGTCCCGTCCCTCTTACTTGTATTCCAGTTGGCTAGAAAGTCAAGATAGGTGAGTTCTTCGTGGAGGGGTGGGCGAGAAAGATACTTATCATATATCCCAACAACCTCGGCGTCATCATGATCCCCCTGGAGGCGAAGAGACCGTCCCTGCTGCTCGTACGGACGGCAATCAACAGCTCTGACAACACGAGTGCCCTCCTGCAGCTCGCAGTTGAGCAAGACGTGGCAGATCTCTTGCCCCGAGAAATCCCTCTCCGCAAGCAACTTGTTCATTAGACGCGAAGCAAAAGAGAGAAGCGGGTTATGGTGTGAGACGTAAGGCAAGATTTGTCGCCCCAGGCTGGCATAGCTGTCAGTCCGCTTCTCCATCTTACTGCAATACTTGGCTGCATAATTGATCACAGCCTGGAGACTGGTACAGGGGGATATGTCAATGTTGGCTAACCAGCCAAGACTGAGGCACCGGTTGTAGTGGTTCATCAGGCTGTCGTTCCTGGTCGCCTCAAAGGAGAAGTAGGACTGTCCTTGTCGCCGAACAACGTCGGCCGTATCTCTCGTACCTCTTGGGAAGAAAAAGCGGCAAGAAATCTCCCCTAAATCTTTCTTCTTCCGTAGGCAGTATGTCTCACTGCAATGGTGACGCTGGCAGCGGTTCAGAATCTGCGAGAGCCATTGGAAGGTCAAGGGATGCCGCAAGGGATTTACGGCCAGGGGATTGCCTTCTCCTTGCTGCTGCACTCGAGCCGGCTCAGGATTCAAAGCTGTGACGTGGGACCCCCAGATACGGACGAACTCCTTACGTGTATGCTCATTTTCCAAGTCGACACTGGGCGCACCGTCCATCCAGAATAAGCCATGGCAATGGCTACTTCCACGGCCCTGCCATTCATACCTGTTCCAATAATCAGTCACGTTGAACTTCTGCTTCAGAACGATATCCCTGAATAGACCGAATCGCCTGTAGAAGTGCCAGGCTGCAATGTGTGGATTATCTCGGAGAAGCTTGCTAGACACGCCCATCCGTTGTTGCTCGGGCAACTCCTGCCAGTCTTGGAACTGGGGCAGATGCTGGTAGAGGCTCCTCCAGTGCAAGTCCGCCGGGGTGAAAGTAATAAAGGCTCCGGGACTGTCGAGGTTGTAGGCATAAGACTCAAGCTCTCGACGCTTGCGGTACCAATACGGCCGTGTCCCGCGAAGCTGCGCTGTCTGGCGGTTAATCGAGTTGAGCAGCTGCTGGGCATCTGCCGATTCAGGGTTCTGGAAAGCCTCCAGTAGATCATCCCGCGTTATTGGGCCCCGCCTTTGATGGTGTTGCTTGACGAAATAGCTGCTTTTGGCCCGCGCCTGTGCTCGCATCAGCGTGTTGAAAACCACAAACCGGAATGTCGGATGGCGGGCAAATCTGCCATCGTGCCATCGAAGGGCATGCTGTATGTAGTCTGCATACTTGATAGGCCGTAGCCTCGGCTCAACAAATTCGGCTTGACCACGAGGAAATAGTGTTGGAAAGGCCATGGAGAGAAGTGCTTGCGATCGGTTGAACTCGTTTACCGGCGTCCTCCGAATATCTGGCATTTCAAGCTGATGTTGTGTCGGCTGTCGTACAGGAACCGGTTCATCGCGCTCTTCGCCAAGAATGCGCGAATGCAGTGCTTCCATCTCTGTATCCTCTGGTAGCAGATCTGGTACTGCAGACTGGTCAACCTCATCCGGCTCAACGTCGTCATTCTCCGTGGCACCTAAATCAGCTGAAAGAGGATCAGTCACGTCCACAGCAGCAACCTGATCAAGTACATCGTCATCTTCAGGCAGAACTGACATCCGCTTCTGGCAGACAGCAATATCTCGGTAGCCCGGATGGCTACGGCGCAGGAAATCCAGCCACGCCTGGAGACAGCGACGGCGTACGCGGAACTGGCGTCTGAATTGGCGGTCAAGGTGGGCATGTTCGCTTGCATTCGGAGGGCGTAGCAGGATAACATCTAATTCAGAGGGTAGAAGAGGAAGTTGGCGATACACTTTGCCAACATCGCGGAGAAAATGCACAATATGGCCACGATACTTGTATTGCTGGCCCCGGACCTGCATGACGTTCACAAATACATGAACTCGAGCGATTAGCATCTCTTCTATTCTTGTCAACTGGGGGAGGAATGCGGGGACTGAGCCAAAATCCAATTGATTTTCGGCTGAAAAAAACAGAGGTTCATCCTCCTTTTTGTTCTTGTCCTTGGCCATGCAACGCTTGCAAACGCCGTCTTTCAAGCCCATGTCAAACCATGTCTCCTGACAACGGGCGCAGTGTTCCATCCGGTCGTTTTCCAGCTCCGTCCAGAACGCCTCCAGGAGGTCCTTATCTTTATCAGACAACGGGCAATGCGACAGATCACGCGCCCAGTCCGGGTCAGGAAGTTCAAAACCTCGATGTTCTGGGCGTTCGATGGCCGGCTGCTGCAGCTGTGCAGGCGGACGGGGATTTCTTCCCCCTCGAGTTGGCCTCGGGTAAATAGAAAGACTCGATACCGGAGATTCGATCGGCGTCCCGAGTCGTACGCCTTCTTGAGAAGCAGCCGACGGACCTGGTCGGGGAGTAATCGGCGCGTCCGTTCGTGTTGACGTGGTGATTGGTGTGCCCAGTTGCAAGTCTATCAATGGCAATCCTTCTCGAAATATTGGGGATAACTCAGCTTGTTCTGCCGTACGCTTAGAGGCGACTAAGGCTCGTCGATTCCTACTGTTGAATGTTGGAGGGTTCACCCTCAACTTCAGGATTAAGGTTCAGGATTAAAGTTTGAAGTCCTAAACTTAGATCGTAGGACTTTCATCTAGGACTTTCTAGGACTCAAGTCCTAGAAGGAACCAGTCGAAGATATAAGGTCTCAATAGTCCTTCGATTGCGACAGAATCAAGAAATATACACGATTCACCTTAATATCTGACACCTACAGTCTAGACAGTCGGTCGTAGGTCTTCCACATGCGAGTGACGACTTTGTCTTCGAAATGAATCGATCTGCTGGCTTCTCCTGCTTGCATTTCCTGCAAACGTTCATCGAAGGGATAGAATCAGCCATGACTGACTGTGTTGGATTGGAGGGTCCAACGACGGGATGGAAAGGATGAGGGCGTCGTTGGCAGGTCGACAACACTGTCATCCAATCGTTGAGTGGAGACACACATCTGGCCAATCGGCGCCTAGTGGAGACACTCTTGGCCAATGGGAGTGGAGATTTGAAAGTTCAAGTTATCGTCGTAATAGAAGTCCTTCGGACTTAATAATAGAAGTCCTTCGGACTTAATGAATGTGAATACAGAATTACTAAACACGCATCTGATATCAAAGGTTAACTACCTTCCGATTAAGAACCTAGCACAAGGCATCCGTAAACTATACGAGGACATGATTATTTCGATTTTTGCTGAACCGACTTTTTCTGTTGTCTCATGGGCCGTTAATGGGAAACCATCCGGCAATGTCAAAGGAGGTCCTTCAACAGCCTACCCATGTCATCGTCAAAGAATAACCACATTTTTTGACTACAACAAGGCTCAACTCCTGAGCGTGTATGCGGCAAGCATATTTTTGGCGGTTATTGGCGTACTGTTAGGTCTACAAGCCAGTGATCGGAATGGTCTGGTCTGACTTGGTCTTGGTCTGGTCTAGACCGCCAAGACTTGGTCTGGTCTGAGGATTTCTCAAGACCATGGTCGGACCGGTCTTAATGGTCTGGACCGGTCTGGCTATAAATAGATCGGAGTGGCTGGATCTTAGACTAATGCAGTTAGAACATTGAGTACGGAATGAAATTATGAGCCCCTGAGAACAGCTTGAGTTTTCCACTCACATAAAACAATCAAGTCCATAACAACCTGCTTGTATGCTATTGTTATGGAGTCATCAGCTCCACCCTCACCGTCTCCTGTCCCTACGTCGTCACCCACCCCTACTCTATCACCAGCCCCTGTTCGATATCACGAACCTCCGGATGAGTTCGTACAGGACCGTATCACCTACGTGAAACGCGCGACAATTACAAAGAAGGGATTTCGTCTAGGTTCATCACACATCTGGAAGTATGGCCTCCAATACATTCGAGGTAGCGATAAGAAAGAGGTGTATTACTGTCACGAGTGCACGGCTGGAAAGAACAAGCAAGAATTGTTTGTTATCAATGGTACTTCTAAGGTCAGAAATCACCTAGAACAGAAGCACCAGATTGATCCCCAGAGTGGTATCAAGAAACATAGTTCGACACGGAAGTCTGTACTAGATCAGCAGAAGAGCGCGGCTGCTACTAATACCTTCTTCTGGAAAGACTCAATGGAGAAGTTCAAAGAGCTTCTAATTCGTTGGATTGTGTACTGTCATATTGCTTTCTTTCAACTAGAAAATCGGTATTTCCGAGAACTACTCTTCTTTTTGAATCCGGCACTTCTCAACCACCTTCGAAAGGCAGCGAAAACTATTCGAAGTTGGGTTATGGACGCCTTTCTGTCGAAGAAGCAGCGGCTCAGAGAGGACCTCCAGCGCTCGCGGAGTAGAATCTCCATCTCTTTTGATCTCTGGACCTCGCCAAACCCTTACGCTATTCTAGGCGTCATCGCCATGTGGATTGACACTACTGGCAAGCGACGAACTACCGTTTTGGGTATACGACGTGTGTACGGCGAACACACTGGCGAGAATCTTGGATCAGTTGTTCTTGAATTGCTAAAAGAATATGATATTGGCGGAGATGAGATTGGATATTTCATGCTGGATAATGCCTCGTCAAATGATACCGCTGTTGGATTCATACTCAAGGAGCTCTGTCCATGGATGGACTCGAAACAACGTCGCCATCGCCGACTTCGCTGCTTGGGCCACATTGTCAACCTCTGCTGCCAGGCGTTTCTCATGGGTCGGAACTGTGAGAAGTATCTAGCAAAGCTTGAAAAGCACTATCAACGCGGAGACTATGTGAAGGTGGAAGAGCTCTGGAAAAAATTTGGATGTTTAGGTCGGCTTCACAACCTCGTACGATACATTAGGCTTACTCCACAACGCCGTGAGGAGTTTGCTGCAATCATTATCGGCGGAGATCTCTCTGAATTCGACGGGCTCGAGCTTATCCAGAACAACTCGACACGCTGGAATTCATGGTTTCATTCAATTACACGGGCATTGAATGTTCGGGAACGCTTAGAGATCTTCTCAGCTCGCCATGTACCTGGGAAAGGCTCTCAAGGGATTGCGAACTTTAAACTTGATGGACAGCACTGGTTCGAGCTTGAAAAGATTGAACTCGCTCTAAAAGACTTCTACGCTGCAACTTTGCTTTCTGAAGGTAAGAAGACGTCACTTGCTGACTGGTTTTCAACTTTGGACTGCCTTCTTCGAGAGGTAAGCGAGACGAAGGATCACTACCACGACATCCACACTGAGGACGATAATAACTTTACATGGAAGTACCTTCAAAGCTGCGCAGATGCCGCGTGGTCAAAATGCGCCGAGTACTACAGCAACCAGCAGCTAAATTGGCAGAATCGATTCCCTGAAGATACTGACCTTCCACCGGCATACTATGCGGCTCAAATCCTCGATCCATATCGCAAGTGGGCGTGGTTCAGGCAAGAGTGGGTTCTTCACGGCGACGAAGAGAAGAAGAGGTGGTTTGATAACGCACAATCAGCGGTGAAGCATCTCTGGGAGACAGAGTATAAGGGAAGACACCCTGTTGAGATGCTGCCACCACCGGCCAGGAAGGAGAGAGCTCCTGACCCAGCATTTGATCGCCAGCGGGAACATAAGCGTATTCGAACAGACGCTCCGGTCTCCACAACAGATTTGTATGAACAATATATTTCTACCGACAGGCTCCATGACGACGAGGCAGGTTACGATGACGCCATTGCGTACTGGCTATCTCGTTATGACTCCCAGAGAGATCTCGCTCGCTTCGCTCTGGATCTGTTTGCGATCTCACCCATGTCAGATGAGTGCGAACGCCTTTTTAGTAGCGCAAAGCTTACTATAGTTGATCGCCGTGGTAGGCTGAAAGCAGATATCATAGAAGCTTGTGAGTGTCTCCGGGCTTGGTATGGAAAGCCCCAGGTTGAGGATGACAGTGATAGCGAGGATAGTGAGAATGATAATGAATGGGTTGATAGCTATTCGTAAAACACATTTCCTTTCTTCCTTCCACTACTTCAACTGTCACGGGGCCAGAGGCTTTGCAGCAAGCATAGCGTGTATTGACGAAGAGGTCGGCTCAGGGAGCAGAAAACGTTCTGCCCTTGAGCGACAATACCGTATTTATCCGAGCGTACACGTGACCTGTCAGGTGGAACCCTGACAGCCTCATTCTTGGCGGTCTTGTTGGTCTAACCGGTCTACCAGACCGGTTATTATGTAAGCAGCTGGTCTGGTCTGGGGCCCCATAGGGACACGCCTAGGCGCGCCTCCACTCCTGAACGCGTAGGCGTGCGGATTATGTCAGCCCTCAATTTGGCCCAAACACAACTGTCGAAATTCCGCGTTCTGATGCAGTTTTTACTTTTTAGAATACTATGATCCCAAACGGTTATGAATTCTTGATTATCTACCGGAATGGATGGCCTGCTGGGCCTCACTATCTACCGCTGCCGCCTCCCAGATATCATGCATACCTCTTCTACTGGAAAAAGGGCTGCGTTCCATCTCCGCAGCTACCTGAGCCTCGACACGGTCATCTTCCGCTTTGCTCCAATCTAGATAGGCCATCATCTCCTCTTTAGTCCAATCTCTGGAGCCGTTTGGAGTATCGCAGCGCTTACCCATCTGCTTCCAATCGAGACACCATTGATAGCTAGATTTGTCGTACCGCAGAGGTAGACCTAGCGCCCTCCGATACTGCTGGTTAGTTTTAATACTGCCACGAGGCTGCACCTTGTACCAAGCATCTCGAGCAGCAACATATCTCTGATAGATAGCCCGAGGATCATCATACCTTGATGTCGGCATTATCCTTGTCTGTGCCGGTGGTGCTGCTGATGATGCTGCCGGCACTATATTGTCCGCGCCGTCGAGACTGACGATAATGCAACTGGCACTATCTATCACTGACTCTGCCTGCTCTGATGATCCTGAAGACGTTGGTCTTGGAGCTTCTCCTGCGTGCAAGGATGATGCTGATGAAGATGTCGTCGGCAATGGTCTTGCCTGCGCCGACGATGCTGGTGGCTTCAAAAGCTCCTCGTATCGTTGAGGGCATGTCTTTGAAGTCATTGTATGACCTATCTGGTGGCATCTGCTGCATTTAGGTTGTGCCTTTGGCCGTGCTGTTGCCTGAACTGCCTCGAATGCACTTGGCTCTCTCTGGGTGCTTGATTGTGTTCTACTAGTACTCGAACCGGCGGCTATCCGATCGGGTCGATGCCGAGGCTCCAGTAGTAACCGGTGAACACCATGGCGATTGAGGTGCCAATGTGTGTGAAAATGCTCCAGGCGAAGGGGCTGATTTTGTTCTTGTAGAGCCTTGAGAGTATGGGCGCAAGGGAGGCCGTGAGATCTGGAGAATACACCGGTGCAAATGGGCAGGTGTTCTTTTAGGAGTAGCTTCCGCTGTTCTTCCACCTTGCGTAAAGCCTCGTGAGATACCCAGCCCCGTATGGCACTGTATAGTGATCCAGAGAGCTCGATTGGTATTCTCATTTGCTGGCTGGCTTGATTAGATTGCAGTTCGGCTAATTGATTGAGAAGCGCATGCTTCATAGCCCTCCAAGCCTCGAAGAGATCTAGCGTGGATTTCTTGAGGTGGCTCTTAAGGAGCCCATGGATACCCTCAACCCGCGAGGTGACTACATTACCGAAATGAGGATGTTGATCAACCCAAGCCCTCACTAACCTTTCCTTGTACGGATCGAGCCAATTGGCCTTGATATAGCCAACCTCTTCAATGTATTGTGGTAGATAGCGCCTTTCAAGCTCTTGTACGCGCTGATCAAATGCCTTTTCATCCGGTGACTTCATGATCGAATGCCAGTGATTGAAAAACTCATTCCAATCGGCCAGACCTTGCTGGTAGGCCTCTGATCCTTGTTGGTGGCGCACGAATGTCGGCTGGCAATAACGGAGGACTGCCTTATTCGCATGCCATAGGCACAAGAGTGAAATTGAGGATGGAAAGCAGATTTCTACGGCGTTCATACAAGCCTTATCGCGGTCTGTTAGGATGACCGATGGAAGCCTTGTATGGCAGAGTTCATACAGGGACCTGAGCCGGTCCAAGGCCCATAGGTAGTCCTGCTCAGTCTCGCCGCTAAGGAATGCAAAGGCTATACAGAACGATCGCTGGCAGGCGTCGACGCCAATCATGTCAAGCAGTGGCATCCCGTATTTGTTTGTCTTATATGTACAGTCGAGAAAAAGCAAGTCTGGGTAGGCCTGAAGGTATGCCAATGACTCTGGATGGGCGAATAACACCGCCGTGATTCGGTCATCCGAATCAAGCCGCATTCGGTTCCAGAACCCTTCCTTATCCAGTTGGTTAGCAAAGGCGTGTATAGTACTTTGACCCTCACAAAGTTCTCGTTTGCTATCTGCGATACGATTATAAATATCTTGCTGCGTTGCAATGGTGTTCGAATTCTGGCGGATATAAGTCCTGATATCCTTTGGCGCTACTCCTGCATTCGTAAGGCGGCTGACTGTCGACTTATCTGCATCAGAGAGCTGCCGATGGACTGGATGGGCCGATTTGTGCCAGCTTGGCTCGTGGTTGTGTAAATGAAACCGGCTGTCCGGACGATGCCTTAAAGACCAAGTCGCCTTATCTAGGGATTCCTTCGCGATAATTGAGAACCGACAATTGGTTCCTCGCGTAGTAGTCTTACGCTGGCGATCTTTTGACACGCTAGGCGGACGACACCATCGATCGCATGCGTAGGTGATAATCTGCCTGCCGCTAGTAGATCGTGAAGATCTTCCAGTTATGAACGCGTATCCTCTCGGTGCTGCCCACTCGTTGATAGCGGTGAGCAGAGCCTCTCGTGAGTCGTATGTACCTTCTGGCGGGAGCACATCATCAGGAAATGCCGTTTGTGCCATAATGAAGCCCGCACTTGGGGACTACAATTGTGGCCAGCGAAAGCAGCAATGGGTGCAGCCCCTGAGAACCGCGACAGTGGAGTTTGGGCCAAATTGAGGGCTGACATAATCCGCACGCCTACGCGTTCAGGAGTGGAGGCGCGCCTAGGCGTGTCCCTATGGGGCCCCGTCTGGTCTGGTCTGGACCCCCAGACCAGACCAGACCAGACCATTCCGATCACTGCTACCGGCGCCAGCTGCCGGATCTTCTGAATACGACGGTCAATGTGGCCGCACGCACGACATTTCAAACCGTCTGGTTTCGGTGGCGCAAGATACGGAATGGGTTGAATTGTATCCGTTGGGTACTGTAAATAGTGACGTAGGTCGTCCCGACTGTGGAGAATATTCGGGATCTGTTTTATCTTCTCTACCAGCTCCTGTCGACGCTCTGGCTGTATATCGCGATGTCGTGTTCTCAAATGCGTAGCAACCTCATCGGCTACAGAGGCGAACGCACAAACCTGGCACACGAGAAGACGGTATGTGGAGAGAAGAACGTAGGGATAAATTACACTGCACGGTTCAGATTGCAAGTTTAAAGCTGTCATAGTGACTCGGTGACTAGTAGTAAGATCTGAATAATGATAGTGCTTTGATCAACAACGAGACTGTCTAGTGTCGCGTTTTGTGGCAAACCCCTGGCAAACCCCTGTTCTGATCAGCACTACTACTCCTGTATATAGGACAGTGTTAAATCAACTCTACACCCTGGCAATAATCAACTCTACTAGGTTTAAAGTGGGTCAATAAAATCAACTCTACTAGAGTTGATTTGGGATTGTAGTACTAGGTCGAACAGCACCTCTACAGAGGAGGCAAAGCAGAATTTGAGGCTCATCAAGCACATGGAGAACTCCATCCGTGACTTCAGAGTATTTCCTTCCGGTACGCACGTCTTGGGGTAGGGCCTCATTACATGTTATAGGTAAGATCAAGTCATGCTTGCCTTGCCAACCTTCTGCTGGTATAGACTGCACATCTTCCTTACTCATGGTTGTCAACGGTCCGCTACCCTTTTGTCTTTTTGTCAAATAAGCTTCATCCATTGGAGGTATATGGTCCGCAGTGACTTCTGTGATAATTCGCTTCCTATTGGATGGAAATGACGTTGGGCTGATGGGTGTTCCTTCAGGTTTAAAAGGCAAGCTCTTACTTGACTGGCGCAGAAACTCATGCCAACGGACCGAAGCCCACTCATAGCATCGTAGAAGCGATGGTTGAAGTCTGGATGGGTACGCTCCATCTAGTCCATATGTGATCCCACGCTGGAGTGGCCGATGCCCACTCTGCCAAGCGAATATAGTGTTAATGTCAACATTATCGCTGTAGTCGTCATGCCTATTGAACGGGATATACACCTCGCGAACATGTTTCTCTGTGACTGCTATGGCCAGCTGGCGATACGTCCGTACATTAATCCTTTGTTGCCATACTTCTAAAGTCGCCTTCGCAACAACGTCTGTCAGGTGAGATGTGGGCCAAGGCCTCCCGTTGTGATGGAATAGTAATCGTGTCTGCAAGCACTGTTGGGCGCTCCTATCGGTACCGAGCTGCTCGCGGCGTAGTAGATCAGCAACCCGTCGAATATAGACAAGGTACTTGAACAGAACGTGACCCAGTCTGACCGGAAGGAATCGCACCACATAGAATTCGCGATTCGTCAGTCGCTTTGCTTTATGATGGCAGATGATGTATGCCATATAGCCACCCCAAACATGTACCCCACAAGTTGTATTCAGGCCATTCTCGTACTCGAGGCTGAAGAGTTCTCTGACTCGTGGTGTCTGGCCACATGCAGTGTAAAGACCACCAGCAAGCTGCTCCTCCATCTTCCTGACTTGTTTTAAATACGCTGTTACAGCATGCCACTTCCAAACCCCGTCTTTAGCTAGTCCGTCTTTGCCTGCAGTATAGGCATGGACTAATAGCTCCAGGTATGCTGACTCAAGACCGTTCCCAGGGCAGTTAATGAAGCTGTAACCACTTTTTGAACTAGACATATCGTCTTTGATCTTTGATAAGTCAACGTGAGGATGTAGACCAAACATCAACTGATCACATAGCGCTTCTGCCTGTGTAATGAAATAGTCTGCGAGTTTGCGAAAGTTGTTCATTGTTATTTGAAAAGTGGCATGAGACACTGTCTCACCATCGTTGCTCCAGTGGAAAAGCATGGATGGTGGTTCAGTGCGTGCGATGTTGCGCCCAAAATCTCTAAGACTTATCAGCTCCGCCAATGGGTATTGTGAGCCTAGAACCATGTACTTGGCTCGGAATTCATTGAAGCACTCGAATTGCCCAGCGTCCGGCCGTTGTGGGATACCAATAGACTGATATTCACGTAGAGGCAATGCTTGCTCTAGGAATAACATACGCTGTATATAGATTATTGCTGACAGCTTGGAGCAATATTGTCGAGCGAGTTGGAATCTCTGACAATCTGCAGAAAATCCAAGAATACCGCTAAAATATATAAGCAGTGTAGAGCTTGGTTGCCAATCGACATAACTTTCGGTGCTGAGCATAACACATAGCTGAAACAACAGTTCGAGGAATTGTCCGCTTGCAGATGCAGTAGAGTCCCCCAATGCCCCTGCGAATAGATTCTGCTGGGTTCCAGCTGTGTTCCCCTCAACATCGTCATAATATCCAGAATCGTCGTAGTCGCTCTCATCGTCATCGTCATCCTCAAGTTCCCAAGCTTCAACGTTCTCATCATCTGTTTCGGCGTCCTCTGCACCTTCTTTCCCATCTGATCCCTGACAAGCTCGAGTGTTGGGATGAACATCAGTGGATTGGCCTTCCATGGGACCAGAGTGTATTCCTACCAGAAGGCTTCCCCGTTTTTTCATGACCGGCCATGTTCCTTTCGACACGTCGAGATGGTTCCAAATGTTGTGCTCCCAGATCCGATCTAACTGTGTGGCGATCTCGGGCTTTATCTTCACATTCGTCATTGCTTGTCGAGAGTCATCCGGCATTCGGTATATTCGTAGGATAAAAGCCAAGAATTGCTTCTGAGTCCTTCGATATCTAACCTCGCTACTCGTCTCTGCCACGAGATTGAAAGCAAGCTCTCGGCGACTCTGCAGCCTCGAGCTGAGCAGCCAGCAGAGAATATTGTGACTAGTACCGCGAACCGTATCCTCACAACGATCTATCACCGAGTCAAGTGCTCTCACGATGCATGAGATCTTCTGTTCGTCCTCTCGTGGGCTAACAAGATTCGGCGCCCCTTTCGAATTGCCCTGTCCCAAGGTGTAGTCTGCGTGGAGGGAATGGCGATTGGGTAGTCTGATCAGCGCGCGCAGAATGTCTCGTCGGGACCCTCGGTAGATAGAAGGCCATTGTGTTCGGTCTAGCCACAAGCTTGTAGCGGCAAATGTGTCGGTGCCTGTGTCATTGATAGTCGTCCGGGGTTGACTCAAAGCTTCTCGATACCTGGCTTCCCGATCTATAACTTGTTGTAGATGGGTGGATGCCTCAGATGTAAGAACATAGGGCGTTCCTTGCGGTTTCTTGGCACTTGTCTTTGCCTTCGGCCTGCCTGCCTTTATTTTTGTCTGTATGTTGGCCTCAAACCATTTGCTGCCTTCTCGGGAAGGGAAGAATCGTTGGCATGCAACACCTTCTATCCATGGCAGAAGTTCGGCCGCCTGATGTCCTATGGGTGGCCTTCCTTTGCTTCTGGGATTGACCCACTCATGAAGTTTGGTACAATGCTCCTGCATCGCCTGAACCTGGCGAATATTAAAACCACAGTGTCGGCATTTGAGGACATCAAGCTTAGGTGGGGCGAGGCAAGGAATGGGTTCATTTGTTGGTAGTGGATATTGTAATTGAGGTAGTTCGGCCCGGGTTCGAAGCACATCTGGTAACACTTCGATAGATTCCGCTAGCCTGCGCCGGGTCCATAGGTCGATTCCAGGATGCTTTTTGGCAAGATGGGTGGTAACTTCTCTGGCCAAGCATGCATATTGACATTTCTGACAAACAAGAATCCGATATTGAGAAAGAAGCATAAACGGATATATAGGGTTAGAAGGGCCGAGCTCGGTCAAAGGCTTGAGTGTCATGGTCTGACGAATCAGTGCTGTAGGCAACCAACATTAGTTGCTGGCTCGATATCACATTTGTCGCGACGGACGCTGATGAATCGGAGCCAGAACTTGACGCGCTGCTGTTAAAGTGTTGTCATGCCTGAACGTGTAACCAAGCACCAATCAGAAATCCAAGTCAACCCCCTGTTGAGGTCCACTCTATCCTAACCCTAGACCATTTTTTAAAATTCAAGGCTACCCCTTGTCAAAATTCAAGTCAACCCCCTGTAAAGTGGGGTAAATTAAATCAATTGTACAACAATTGATTTTGGACTGTAGCACTAGGCCGATTTATGATGAATCGCCTGTGAATAATACCTAGGTTATAATAGTAACCTATCTAATTTTAGAAGGATAGGTACCTGTTGTTGGACCCGATTGTCTGTCTTGTGCTTGATTGAGCTATCTGAGGCTGTCTTGACCCCTCTTTTGGTGGGTAATCTGAAGCTATTCCTAGTTGAGAAGCATCTAGTCATGTGATCGGCTTAGTCTCCCTCCGAGGCGCATTTTGCAGATTAGAACCTCAGATAATGAGGATAATACTCAATAACATAGGTCCTTTGGTTCAACACCTGTCTGCCTATTAGCCGCTGTCTGGTCAAGGCCAGTTAGTAAGTCTTTTCTTCCGTCTCTTAATAAATCCTCTAGGTGCAGCCACCTTGCGGTCCCTTAAGGAACCTTTTGGAACTTATTTTATAGTTCCTCCAGGCATTTTATACTTTATATTTTATTATTATTTTTCCAACATTAGCTAAACTTAACTCTAAGTAGTTGTAGAGTTTGCTGTTGTGATGAAGCGCATGCATCTTGAGCAATAGTGGACTAGCAATAACAGAACTGTTTTTCAATGCAGCAGCGTTTCAGAATCACACGGCATCAATACATAGCCTCAGGGAAAGAACCTTAACTCAATAGTCCAATCGATTGAGTTTACTCGTACAGCATTCCCTCTTCTAGTTGAAGGCCTAAAATAACAGCCTGATCTGTCATAGAGTAGAGGAGACGCGACTGGCGTCTCACTGGCCTCATATCCCTATGTGAGTGGGTTGATGGAAGCACTAGAGGCCCTATTAGCTCAGCTTACATACTTGGTCAGAATATCCAGTGGTACTTACAAGGGGTTCTGTTTCTGGCTCTTTTGTACCACTTGTTGATGATATAAACTGTCGGGGGCAGGGCGACTACCAATGTGAGGATGGCGACGATGGCCTCGATGTTCATCTTAGAACCTGAAAATTGTCTTTTTGCGGGATGTTATTAGGCTGACAGAATAGGTGACAAGGTTAAATGGTAAATCTCGGTCGTAAGACTTGTCAAAGAGTGAATCCGGTTTATAAAGCCTCGGACGAAAGGCGCTTCAAGTCAAGGTGGATTTGGTGATGTGTTGATGCTCGCTGACCATATGAACCATTGACAGGCAATGCAAGTCGCTTGGCTGGTCACGCAAGGGAAGTTTTATATTTAAAAAAAAAAAAAAAAAGAATACGACTAGTTCCCCGATTATACGATTTGTGGTTCTGCTGGGTTGTAGAACACACAGCCACTGCTCAATGGTTCAGATTCTGGCAACAGCCAACAACCTGGCAAGAGCAACTTTTTAGGTTCATGGCCCCACCACTTGGCGAGGCAGCATCCTTGCAAGCGGCTTTCAGATTCTGGAGTTGGCCAATTAAACGCTGCCACCTTTTTCTTCGGATTCTGGATCTAGCCACTCAACGAGAGGCGGCCGCTACCGATGGCCTTTCAGATTCTGGAACGAGCCACTCATACGCGAGCCGGTTGCTGACCTCATATTGTCATTTTGTGTTTGATTCGCCTTACCACGCCTAACTGGGCGTTCCAGTACACGCAGTGGTCGCGTCACTGTATTTCAGATTCTGGTTGGGGCCAATCACCTCTACACACTGCAGAGCCTCATTAGGTATAAATAGCCCACAGGCCTCCTCTACTGTCCCCCAATATTTAGCAGTTCAAAATTCAATCCCAGTCACTTATATTTCGGTTCAGAACCTGCACTGTCGAAGTTACTTTTGAGTCTTCACCCATGGAGCAACCGCGACGCCGTCCCATTGAGGAGCAATGGCTCCAGGTGAAGGGATTGATTCGACGACATTACCTCGCAAACGACATGTCTCTCAAAGACCTCACAGCCTTACTGTGTGGCAAAGGTCTTCCGATTACGTCTGTACCTCTACCCTCAAGGCCGCTACTGTGAATTGACCGATTTTCTAGGAAGGCCCAACTGGAGTACAAATTGAAGAAATGGAAGATGTCAAAGAACATCGACGACGAGGCATGGAAGTCTACTGATCATGTCATCACGAAACGGAAGCGCCAAGGCAAGGATAGCGAAGTAATTCACTGCGGCAAGCGATTGAAACAGTCGACAGTCAACAAGGAGACAAACCGTCATCGCGATGTGAGCATTTTCGCTCGATCTGCTCTAGGCATGTGGTACCGAAAGTTGGAAACTGTCGTGGGAGCTGTTTGATTCTGACATTGGAAGCCGTAACACAGAAAGCCCACCTCCCCTCTCTCCAACGAATACGCAGCTCATCGTCTGTACTCCGCCGCCATTCCCCATGGAGTTCGAGTGGCCAAGCACATTACCATGGCTTAACTTCCAAGACATCTTCCTAACCTGTGAGTCAAATCATGAAAAGAGATGTAGCCTTGAGCTAATGGTCTGAAAAATTAGGGGCGTCAAAGTTTGGTCAGGTAAATACTCTTCAGTCTAGCACGATGACTGAGCCTGAGACACCACATGTTGGTACCCTTTTGCAAACAATCGCGGAAGGCCGGGGAGTTCAAACAATTGACGCACCGAGGCGAATTTCGAGATTAGCTGCCAATATCGGCAAAAAGATGCCAGAGTTCTATCCCGGAGAGCACTTGCAAACCGTCCATGTTCTTGTCACCAGCTCCGGAATAGAGCCTATGATTGAGTGCCTGAGAATCGTCATCTATCAGATATCCAATAATGCGATGGACCCGCTCTGGAGTGCCCAACGATGGGAAGCAACTTTTGACCTCTTCTCTCGCGCTGGTCTTCTGAACACCGCGCTTGACCTCAAAGGAGTTAGAGAACGAAGCTTGACTGTCAGAGCATTCATGGACAACCTGTTCCGAGCCGCCATTGTCGCCGTCACCGGTGGCATGGTATTAAGGGAGAAAAACACTCGGGAGAGAGCTCTGGGCCTGATCAAGTGGCTCTTGTCTTCAGGCCAAGATCCAAATATCCGTATGCATGACGCAACGCCTCTCGAGCGAGCTGTTGGAGCTGCACAGCCCGACCTGACCGAGCTTCTCCTGATTGCGGGTGCTGACCCCGATGTTGCTGGTAATTGGTCTCACCATAGATCGCTCATGGATCTCATGCTGGCTTATGAAGGCCCTAATGACAATAAAGTGCGGATCATCAAGCTCTTGTTACCGCACACTCGCTCGACCAACCTAGAAAAGGTCCTCCATGCAGCCATCAAGCTACGCGACCCAGATCTCGTCGAACAAGTCGTGGAACGTGGACCGTATCTTCTTGCCAGTACAGCCAGAGCCGAATACCCAATCTGTCACGACACCGCCTTGAGCGTCGCTGCTGCGGTCGATATTGATGCTACGACTTCTATCTTGCGTCATATCGAGGTCCAATATCCATCCAGGCCGACGTCGGCGTTTATTACTCAGGATGTTTTCATCGCAGCGGCTAGCGCAGGAAATACCGATGTGGTATTATTTCTCCATGGCATCAGCCCTACTGGCGGCTCTCCCAACCTGAAACTCATTACATCTCTACAGGCAGCAGTAAGCAGAGGTCACCTGGGAACCTGCCAATTGCTTCTTCAGCTCTATGGCGGGCTATCAGCTGCTCTCATCTACATTGCATGCCATCATGGCCATTTGGATCTTTTGCAGTACCTCCTCGAGAATGGGCTCTCGGTCAATGAACCCATGACTTCCAAAGACGCACAAGCCTGTTGCGCCTTATGCAAGGAGTTCGTTAAGGTCAATGTCAGCAGCGGACAACCTGTAACGGCTCTACAATATCTTTTGAAGTATTTGGATTTGGATTTTTACCCGAAGTATTTTCGTCTTGGATATCCCCCAGGCTGGCTTGAGCTTTTGATCAGACGGGGTGCTGTGTTGCCCCGGGGCTCGGTTGTCAGGTTTGCCAGAATGTGGTGGGATAAAGCATTGTTAGCTGCTTTGGACGCCGGCGGAAGCGCAAATGAAACAAGCCCTAACGGTGAGAGTGCACTTCATTGTACTTTAAGATATACCTGGACTGGAGATTTAGCCAAACAACTTGCTACTGTCAAAACTCTCCTGGAGAGAGGTGCACAGGTACGTGGAGGGGAGGTCCTTCAAGCGATGACGATTCGAGACCGGCACCTTGTCCGACTTCTTCTACGTCATGGAACAAGATTATTTGACACACATGAGAACAGGGGGCATACTCTTGACGCAGCAATCATGTTGAACAATGACAAACTGCTCGAAAAGGTGGTTGCGAAATTGCCCGGGTACTACGACGCAGGGTCGCTGTGCGCAGCGGTTAAAACTGGAAACATACGGATCATCAACCTGCTTTTAGCCAACCGGCCCCAGAAAGTAGAGGCCGATTTGCTGGAGGGCACCGCGGTTGGTCTGGCTGCGGAATCGGGAGATATCCAGCTGGTGCGAAAACTCCTTGAACATCTCGGAAAACCGGATTCTGCATTAATTCAATGCAGCAACGGTGACGGAATTGTGTTCTTCCACTGCGATTCGAGTTTTTGGCGTCAAAACCCTAAAATGCTTATCGAGGCTAATCCGCTCGCCCTGGCTGTCTCCGAGCCCACCGAGGACGACATCGGGGATCTTTCTCTCTCCGAGGACGACACCAAGGGTTTCTCTGAACTGCTAGAAAATGGCTACCGATCTGACAGACTTACCTGGTTAAGGGTCCTAAGTTTAGGGCACTACTCATGCCTGTACCTGGAGAGGCTATTACATTTCAAGCAACGACTGGATGGCGTCCCACCGCATCCGCTGGAAACGGTGTCCTTGCTCTGTGACTTCATCAGGAATGAAAACAAAGACGTGCTACACTACCTGTTAAAGGCCGGGGCAGACGCCAATGAATACAATCGTACCGGTATTGGTCGACCGGGCAACCGGTCCCCTCTTCAAATGGCTGTTCAGTTTGGCAACTTGGACATTATCGATCTCCTTCTACAAGCCGGAGCACATCTCAATGCTCCACCATCATTCTTTAGAGGGGCCACAGCTTTGCAGATTGCCGCTATCCAAGGTAATCTTGGGCTGGCGAAACAGTTGCTCGATCTTGGTGCCCGCATAAATGCTCGGGGGGCGAGACAGTGTGGGAGAACGGCATTAGAGGGAGCCGCAGAGCATGGAAGGCTTGATATGCTGCAACTGCTGCTTCATTCCGGAGCCCTCACCACTGAAGCTGGACAACTTCAGTTTGTACGAGCGGTCCACTTCGCAGAGCAAAGTGGGCACGATGCTGCGGCGGACTTATTGCGGCAGTCACGACAGTGGACAGATGAGGATGCAGATCTGTATGAAAAGAGATCCCCTCGATGCGGCGACAACTGTTTTGAAGAGTTTGTCTTTGACGATGGACAGTCAGGCTGGATATGTTTGGACGACGAAAATGGCCGGGCTCATTGCTGTGATGAGATACACAGTGCTGGAGATGAATGCATACATGACTATACAGAGATCGAAGATATGTGGTACACCGATAGAACCAGAGAAATGGATGCCTTGAAATCCGGAGAGTCGTACGATGAATTGGATGAGTGCGAGGAATCTGTCAATGGATCTGATGAGGATCTGCTATGAAGAATTAATAGGGGGCATGACCCTACTACTACTCCACCTCTTGTCGCAATAGCTGCGGTCGGGGACGTGTTGGAGTCTCATAGGGATCTGGGTAGAGATCGGAGTATCCACTTGTTCGTTGACGTTTTAAGGGGCTCAATGTTTCATCAGAAAGGCAACATCAACGCGGATCGTTAAGCAATGGATCAACTGTGTCGGCAGGATGGGTTATTAGATAGTAGGGTTTCAATTCCTCAAGCTATATATCCAGAGATAAAAATGCAATACAAGCATACACAGATAAAATAGATATAATTTCATAAAGATATTAATGTTAGGGGGTTAATGCATAGATAAAGAGTAACGTGTTTGATAAGCATGCGCCGCAGACAAGTATGCGCCGCACTTTTCCCTCTTACATCATACATTTTACCTGATCAATTAGTTTTCAACCATTTATCATGTCACAACCTTCAATTGAAGCTAAAACCCTTCTTGCTCTTCAGGCCCTTCAGAATAACCCAAAATTAAGTGTCCGACGCACTGCAAAGATGTATGAGATTGATGAGCGCCGCCTACGTCGCCGCCAGCAAGGCATTCAATCACGACGCGATTGGATTCCAAAGTCACGGAAACTATCTGACCTGGAGGAGCAGATAATAGTCCAATTCATTCTTGATCTAGATTCGCGAGGATTTCCCTCGCGATTACGTTTTGTGGAAGAAATGGCTAATTCTCTGCTTGCTGACCGCGATGCGTCACCTGTCGGCAAGCGCTGGGCTCATGACTTCGTCAAGCGACAACCAGAGCTAAAGACGCGTTTATTTCGGAGATATGACTACCAGAGAGTTAAATGTGAAGATCCATCTATTATTCGCGGCTGGTTTAGGCTCGTACAGAACACAATCAGGAAATATGGTATCCGATCAGATGATATCTGGAACTTTGATGAGACCGGCTTTATGATGGGCATTATTATGGCCGGAATGGTTATCACAGGTTCAGAAAAACAAGGAAGACCTAAGTCAGTGCAGCCTGGAAATCGAGAATGGATTACGGTCATTCAGGCGATTAATGCGGAAGGTCAATCGATCGCGCCGTTCATCATTGGTGCAGGCAAATATCACCTTGCCAACTGGTACCGAGAAAGCAACCTCCCGGCCGATTGGGTTATTGCAACTAGCCAAAATGGGTAGACAAATAACGAGCTAGGTCTTGAGTGGCTAAAGCACTTTGATCGGTCTACAACTAACCAATCAACTGGTCCCTATCGTCTTCTAATCCTTGATGGTCACGAAAGCCACCACTCCGCCGACTTTGAGAGATACTGCCGGGATCACAAGATTATCACACTTTGTATGCCTGCTCATGCATCCCATCTACTCCAGCCTCTTGATATTGGGTGCTTTGCAGTGCTGAAAAAGGCATATGGTCGAGAAATAGAGCATCTGATCAGATGCTCTATAACCCATATTTCTAAGACCGAGTTCTTCCTGGCCTTTTATGCCGCTTTTCAAGCTACTTTTACAGAAGATAATATCCGGGGCAGTTTTAGAGGAGCTGGACTTGCTCCTCTTAACCCAGAAACCGTGATCTCAAAGCTTGATGTGCAGCTGCGGACTCCAACGCCTCCCGGGGAGGTCAGCCAACCATCAACCCCATGGGTTTCAAAGACCCCCAAGACAGCAATTGAGGTCCAATCTCAATCTGAATACCTTGAAAAGCGAATCAGAAGGCATAAAAGAAGCTCCCCAGAGTCAATAATAGAAGCTTTAAAGTCAAATACTAAAGCAACAAGGGCAGTTATGCATAAGGTTATCTTATTAAGGAATGAGGTCCGAAATCTTCGAGATGCAAATGAGATACTAAGCCGGCGCCGGAGGGCAAAAAGGACTAGACTACAGAAAGGAGGGGCAATGACTATACAGGATGCATCGCAAGTAATTGATCAGATGGATGTTAATGCGCAGGTAGTGGCCGAATCATCGAGAAGTGGTGGTCGAGGAAGGTCAGAGCGACCGGGTGGTCGGCGTTGTGGTGTATGCGGCAAGGCCGGGCATAATGCAAGGACCTGTCAGGTAGTGATTGAGACCTCTGGGGAAGAGTATGGTAAGTAGTTTGAATTGATCAGATGGTTTATTATGTTTTTAAATGGATTTAAAGTTTAGAGGCTGGAATTTTTGATCAGCATACTTGGATGATCAGCATGCTTATCAACCACGTTATCCTTTCTATATGTGTAATAATATAAAATCAACTCTACACCCTGGCAATAATCAACCCTACTAGGTTTGAACTGGGTCCCAAAAACCAACTCTACTAGAGTTGATTTGGGACTGTAGTACTAGGCCCTATATGAGTTAGCGGTTATATGCTTCTGAAAATGGATGGATCTTGACCACGAAATTCATGATTGGCTGCAAAGCTCGGGGCCGACGACGAGGTCAGCAACTTCCAAGACGGATATACCAACAACAAGCTAGAAAGTCTCATAAGAATATAAATAAGTTGAGTCTAAAGGCTATAATGTATGTATTTATATAATGGTGATAAGTTTTATACTACATTTAGTTTCCAGTCTGAGTGGATAAAAAATCGATATTCACGTTCCGCGTTTTTGTAAATACGACCTGGACAGTAACGGGGCCCGTTACGAGTTTGAGGAGCCCATGTCGAATTCAATAGTTGTGATTGGCCTAAAACCCGTAACGGACCCCGTTACCGACTAGAATACTAGAGTAAGAATTCCATCACTAAAACACGACCTGAATGAGTGCCTATAGCGACCGTTGACCCCGCCACAGCTGATTTCGATGCTCGATACTCTAGAGGTAGCCAAAGCAGTCTCTTCCTATCTTTCACAATCCATATACTGTCAGTGCTTACACCATAGCCGTAATGGCTACAGTCTAACAAGGAAGCGTTGGTGCATTGTGCAGCATTGGCGGAGGATAGATCTAGGTTCAAAACTCCAATATCCGTAGAGAGCCGGGAATTGGTCATTGGATCGAACAAAAGGTGGGTTATGAATCTGCCGGCATCGAGCGTCTGTAGGCACGCGCCCGAACTGGCATCCCAGATCTTAATGGTCTGATCGCGTGAACTTGATGCGAGCCGCTGGCCATCTGCTAAAAATATGGCTGAGGTTGTTAAACTGTCATGGCCTCTAAGTGTCTGTAGGCATGTGCCCGAACTGGCATCCCAGATCTTAATAGTATCATCGTATGAGGTTGATGCAATCTGCTGGCAATCTGCCGAGAAGACGACAGAGGTTATCGAACTGTCGTGGTCCTTAAGCGTCTGTAGGCATGCGCCCGAACTGGTATCCCAGACCTTAATAATATTATTATCCCGTGAGCTTGATGCAAGCTGCTGGCCATCTGCTGAGAAGACGACTGGGGCCCACAAGTTATCGTGGCCTTGAAGTGTCTGTAAGCATACACCCGAACTTGTTAGATTTTTACCAACTACACCACATGCCACAAAAATGAGGATCCCCACTTAGAGCAATGCATGAGTGGTTTTTATATCTGACACACCCCCTCAGCTGGAATGACTTTGGTCACTCCAGCTGCCCAATAAGCTAGGACTCGAACCTAGAACCTGAAGTGTGAGTGACCCCCATGTTAGAAGTATGACACAACCTCTCTACCTATTGAGAATTTACTTAAGGGTGCGGGTGCTGGGAATCGAACCCAGAACGTCAAGAGGTGACCCGCCCGAGAGGCACTGAGACTCTTAATTGTTAGATTTTTACCAACTACACCACATGCCACAAAAATGAGGATCCCCACTTAGAGCAATGCATGAGTGGTTTTTATATCTGACAGAACTGGCATCCCAGATCTTAATAGTATCACCACAGGAGCTTGCGAGCCGCTGGCCATCTGCGGAGAAGACGACTGAGTTTACCCAGCCATCGTGGCTTGTGCATGTCTGTAAGCATGCGCCCAAACTGGCATCCCAGATCTTAATAGTATCACCACATGAGCTTGATGCGAGCCGCTGGCTATCTGCTGAAAAGACGACTGAGGTTACTAAGCCATCGTGGCCTTTGAGCGTCTGTAAGCATGTACCCGAACTGGCATCCCAGGTCTTAATAGTATCATCACATGAGCTTGAGGCGAGCCGCTGGCCATCTGCGGAGAAGACGACTGAGTTTACAAAGTCATCGTGGCCTTTGAGCGTCTGTAAGCATGCGCCCGAACTGGCATCCCAGACCCTGATAGTCTTATCCTCTGACCCTGATGCGAGCCGCTGGCCATCTGCGGAGAAGACGACTGAGTTTACAAAGTCATCGTGGCCTTTGAGCGTCTGTAAGCATGCGCCCGAACTGGCATCCCAGACCCTGATAGTCTTATCCTCTGACCCTGATGCGAGCCGCTGGCCATCTGCGGAGAAGACGACTGAGTTTACCCAGCCATCGTGGCCTTTGAGCGTCTGTAAGCATGCGCCCGAACTGGCATCCCAGATCCTGATAGTCTTATCCTTTGACCCTGATGCGAGCCGCTGGCCATCTGCGGAGAAGACGACTGAGTTTACCCAGGCATCGTGGCCTTTGAGCGTCTGGATGCAAGCATTCCAATCTGCCTCCATAATCGGCTTCGATATGATCCAATCCGGCTCTTCCTCCAGGAAGACCTGTCTGACTAAGCTGCGGGTGGGACTGAAAACGAGTGCTGATGCGTAAACCTGCAACGGAGCAATCTCTATCGGCCGTTTGTGGGAAAGGATAAATCGGCGCGCGTCTTGAAGTAGTTCTGTCACTTGTTGTGCCTCTACGTTTCCCTGCGAACATCTTAGACTGTCTCTCCACTGTATAGATGAAACGACAACTCACTACTAACGCCGCGAGCTTCTCCATTGCCAGCACTCCCTCCGACATACTGCGCAACAGACTGAGAGCCTCCAGCCAATATAGAAACTTCTTTTTGAGGAAGGCATGAGCAATATTGCCGTCCTGTAGGTCTCTCATCCTCTGTGCGGGATCCGAGTCATTGAGATGGTCAGCCCAGTAGATACAAGAATATCGGGTTGAAGACAATGGGTCAGGGTCGGGCGGCGAGACCTGATCAATGGAGAATCCTGGGACGCGTAGGTTGTAAATGTCGCGTCGGAGCGTCCCTGACAGAGCCTCCAGCGACCTAGTGAAGACGCTGCGGTGCTGATGCGCGATGCCGGAAGGCAGGATTTGATCGGATGCCTTGTTGAGCACGAAGTCCTTCGCCGATTGATGTACAAAGTAAACGACTCCCTCCCGGATAGTCAGGAGAGAGCCGCAGGATCCGATGATTTCTTCCAAGGTGTCGAGGTCGTCACCGATGTCCTCGAGTGACACAACAAGAGACGTCAGCTCCTTCAAGGAGACAGGGCGGTATACGACTGAAGCAACAGCTAGGATCTGCTTGCAAAGGTCCGCATCGTCAGAATCATGGATGTGTTTCATCATTCTCTGGTAGAGAGAATCGAGTCCTGGTGGGAATGACTGTAGCTTGGCGAGCGTATGCCGTTTTCGGACGTTACGATCTGCGAGCTCTTGACAAACCAAGGCTACCCATAGGAACGTGCCATTTGCGTTAGAGGCTAAGTGTTGCTGAACAGTAACCCGTGTTTTGTCGTCATATTTCTTCGACCGAACTAGCTGACCTACCTTGTATTCAATATATCGGCCAACAGCGGCAGAGATCAACTCATGGTTCAACTCGAGACAGAGCCGAAGCTTCTGCGTAGATGCGTTTAGGGCCTCCTCAATACTTTGCCAGTTACGACTAGACACGATCAGCTTAGCTCGAGATAAAGAAGATATGTGGACGAGCAAGTCGAGAAGCTGGTCGCGATTTGTCACGCACTCGTCAAGCGCGTCAATGATCAAGAAGGTGCTCTGTCGGCTGTAGTCCTGCAAGATGTTGATCAGAATCTTGGACAGAGCATCCCACTGATTCGCGTCCTCGAATAGCTGTTTGCCTGCGTGATTATACTTCTTCCGTACGTGCGACATCAGCGACGGCTCCTGATCGAGGAGGAGATAGAGGAGGCCGCGGAGCACGGACGTCGCGTTACTAAGGCGCACGTCGGTCGCCTGACAGAAGAAGTAGGACAAGCGGCGCATATCCACAGGTAGTTTCTCCAGCTCTTGGATGATCCCGCAGAGCAGCATTGTCTTGCCCTTGCCGGGATCTCCCTTGATCCAGAGTAGCCGACTTTCTTCGTTGTCGCGCCATCGCCGGAAGTCCGCGTGGTCGAGGATCCAGCTATATGAGTCTTCCAGCAGGCCGCCCTTTTCCCGTTGGATGCGCGTCCTGTCGTCGCTGGGGTCGGTGGATCGTAGGGCGGCAAAGAACTCCGCATCTTTATTGGAATTGTCCTGCACTCCTTCGAGCTCGTTAGCGATCAACACTGTCATGCGCTGTCAAATCTTTACCGATATTTAGGTTGCCTCCAACTTGGAAGCTGCCCGAGTTCTGAATCCCCTGTCCGTAAAACGCCAGTCGAACACCAGGCTCGTTCGACCTGCGGAGTGCCTCGCTGGGTGCCCCGCTTCTGTCGTGTGGAGATCGATGTTCCGGCGTGAGCAGTCGCTTTTCGCGTCTTTCTTCCGCATCCGATGCTTGCACGTCAGGCCTCTGTCTCTTGGGTCTGTACTCCATGGCGCGAGAGTCTACACGATCAAGGTGGTGGAGATTAGGCGGGCAGTGGCCTTCACCTCAACAAAGAGGATCAGGCTGCGCGAGGCGGCGCACGGGCCAATAAGACCTCGAAGAAGTCTGCGCATGCGTCATTGGCTAGGCTAGGACTCTGGTAACAGATGAGGTGCCTGCTCGTTAGACTGCGGTCTAGGCGGTGCCGCTGCTTCTTTAACAAGGTGAGTCGAGCGAAGGGAGACGCGCCAAAAATGCAATATATACATATGTAAATGTTAGCTGGACTGAATCCGGTCAGTTGGGTAGCGCGGTAGGGGGCTTAAATTGAGTGATGGGGGATTCGAACCAGGCTACCTAGGTTTCAACTAACAATTTGGATCGGGATGAACAAGGCTGACACTCCCTACCCGCTGATCAACAACAATGGGAGCCGTCGAGGTACATGACCATCGGCTCTGTGATGTTGAGCATCCCACTTTTGCTATTTAGTTGGCTCGGGTTGGAACAAATGCGACCTCCTCGGCAATCGCGGCTCGGCCCGCTGGTCGAGGACAGTAAATAGGACTTTCTAGTCAAAAACTACTTCCGCCGTATAAAGTCAACACGAAACCTGATGCGATGGCATGTCCAGGCTTGCTCTGAGAATACAGCAAAGAGGTGCGGCATATGGCATCCAGAGATCAGCCGGCTTGGGTGGCTACGTGTTATGACAGCGAACGTAAGCGGGCGTCAAGCACGCCACACCTGGCTTGGTGTCGCAGGGTAGGTAGGCATGATCTTTACGGCCTCAGGACGCAACTGCGTGAGTAATCTAACTTTGCGGAATGGAATACCCCGCACGAAAGACAGCAACAATCAATCAACACATTTGCTGCTGCTCATCACATTCACTTTAACCCTTTAAGCACGCTCAGTGCGATACTTAGCCTACTCACCCAAAATAATCATTTCCCACTTCTTGATACCACTCAACCTCTACTGCATCAAAATTCAATGTAAGAAACACTATTCCCAGGTGGGTATGGCTTCACTAATATCTCGATAGTATTATAATGCAGGACGTGCAGAGAAGCCCTCGGGCCTGCGAAGAATACACTGTCGCAGTTGTTTGCGCCATGGAGCTCGAGATGAGCGCCGTCCGATACATGTTAGATGTCGAGCATCGCAGCCTTCCAACAAAGGAAGGCGACTTCAACATCTATATCCTGGGTGAGCTCCAGGGCCATAACGTGGTCCTCGCGTGCCTCCCCGGAAACCAAGGAAAAGGCTCCGCCGCAATTGTGGCCACAAATATGGCTCGCACCTTCTCCTGCATCAAGTGGCAATTTCTCGTCGGCATTGGTGGTGGAGTTCCTAGCACTAAGCACGACATCCGCTTGGGCGATGTCGTGGTGAGCATGCCCGAGGGGCAATACGGCGGTGTTGTTCAATATGATCTGGGGAAAGAAACCGATGACGGTTTCGCCCTTAAAGGCTTCCTCTCGCCACCGCCGCCTCTTTTGAGAGGTGCCGTGATGAAGATGCGGTCTGACCACCGTGTCAGGGAAAGTAGGGCTGAGGAGTTCGTATCAGCGATGTTGCAGAGGGGAAGACGCCTTTCCGTCTATGAGCGGCCTTCCGCCGATCTTGATGTCCTGTTTGAAACGGATTATCCTCATGACCCGCAGAACTTCACATGCAAGAAATGTGACCAACAAAAATCCGTCTCCAGGTCGTGTCGCGAATTTGAAGGCCCCGAGATACACTACGGATTAATCGCTTCTGGCGATCGTGTTGTGAGGAGTACTGCGAAAAGAAGTGAGATCATCCGTAACGTCGGCAACATCCTCTGCTTCGAGATGGAAGCAGCAGGGCTACTGACCGAGTTCTCGTGCATTGTCATTCGTGGTATCTCCGACTATGCCGACTCCCATAAGAATGATAACTGGCAGCATTACGCGGCTGCAACTGCCGCCGCATGCACCAAGGAGCTACTCACTTACATAGATCCAGAGGTGGCCTCTGCGGTACCGGTATCTTCCAAAGACGCAGCGTCATATTGGGGCAACGGGCTAGCCGCTCGCCATGTTTTTCATGGCAAGGGGGTCCAAAACTCCGGTTCGGGTCATTTTTCTATTGGCAAGGACCTGAACATATGTTGATTGCCTCGACCCTGAGGCATTATTCGCATGCGAGTTAAATCGATTAATAAATTGGGCCGCGGGGTCAACAGATTTCCCTTTTACAGCTTTCCCTTAAGCCGAGTCGCTTATTGGTGTTCCGGGGTTGCTAGCGCCGGTTGAATGGCTGCTTTATAGAGCCGATAAAGCAGCATCTGATATTCCTCGTACAAGTGGATGTAATGCTCCATTGCTGCTAGTTTGATATAGATACTTGCTTTGAGTCTGTTTATATGTCTGTCAATAAGCTACTCTATGTGACATAATCAATCTGCGAGTCAGCTACAACTAAGCGATAAGAGCAAAATATATTGACCCCGCAACCCCGTCTTGGTAAACGATTTGGCCCAAATCGCATGCGAATACCACCTAAGTTAGGTTAAACAAAAATTTAAGGTTCTTTGGGGAAGACCAAGCTAACGTCCGTGGTAGGGAAATTGCAATCAGAATGAAGAATAACTGGAGCCAAGATGATCTTGCCCAAATTTGGAAGAACCTCGATGCGTGCACGGGCCAGATTCTGTGTAATTCATCGAATTACCACCACGACTGCGTACAGTAGGGAGTGAATTGATGACAGCTCACTAGCGATCTAGTCATGTTTATACATGCGAGGAAGGACTGAAAGTAAACTCATTGGAATCACTAACTGGTGGGGTTTATGGAATGTATCTTCTCCTATTATCCTATTTTCTTCCTATAACTCCAAGCAAGAAATTGTCACGCTAAATCAGCGAGCTATGGATTCTCATGTTCTGAGTGGTCGCTTTGGTAGGATTATTCCATCGTCCTCCATGCACTCTAAATGGTTATCGTACTGGTTTATCAACCAGTTTGGGGTTCCCTTTGCCACACGAGACAGGTCTTCCCCCGAAAGTTCGAAGCCCACAGTTTCCAAGTCCAATACCATAATTTTGTCCTTCCCATTGTCAGTCACAAGATGAAAGTTGTCAAGCTTTATATCATCATGATACGCCCCGAGATCAGCAAGAGACGTAAACGCCTGTTCTAACAGAGGCCGAAGATCTTGTTTATCAAGTACTGCGCCTTCCGGTGTCGCGAGGCAGTTCCCTCCGATATCTGAAAGAATCAAAGCGCGGATATCATTGAATTGAATCATGCCGTAGAATCTAGGTATGACGGTGCCCTGGAGAGGTTGAAGTTTGTGATATGCTTCCAGTTCCTTGTCAAATTCTTCTTCCCAATTAGGCTTCTGGGATTTTAAAACAATTCTTTCTGGCAGGAACCACTCTGGGAATTTGCTCTGCAGCCATGGGCCTATCGCGCCAGATAAAACACCGAATAAGGACTGGACGACCCGATCCAGAAACGTCTGCTGAAGTCGCAGGCAAAGGACATTATGATGGCAATGGTCTGCAGGTCCACCTCTGGCTGTGATAGTTCGCGTACCAAACCGAAAACGCTAAGGTCAAGTTATATCAGCAGTGTAATATGGCTTAGAACGGGCAGTGGAACCTACAGTGTCTTCAGGCTGCATGACCCCTTCAGTGAGTATATCACTAGTTGGAGAGGAAGGTATTCCATCCGAATGCTCCATAATGCGATCAGTCTTGTGTCGTGCTGGTTTTTCGAGAGAGAATCTCGAGGTATTTATACCTCTCTCTTGGCCTCTTTTTGCAGCCAAGAAGCGATGGCTTCAATATTAAACCAGTTCTCGCAATCTGCTTCAGTCTCAATCCTCCAATGGCGCTGATTTGTCGGAACGACCAGCTGACAAAAGCTTATATCGTAGGGACAAAATGCTGGGTTCCAATTACCTGTGTTAGCTGGCTAACGTGTATTCTCATGGCTCGCAGTCCCTCCAACAAACAGGTGCGGTCAGTCTGTAATTGAAAGAGGTTCGGTTTGTATATTGAATGCCAAATTTCAGGAGTTCCAAGCCAAAACGCACGTGCCATCAATCACTGAGTCAGCTGTTTCTTGAGGCAGGGGGTGCCAGGCAGAAACTCCACAGTCGGCCCGTAGGCCCAATCAAATCACTCTTAGAATGTCCTTGTGCATGTTGGTTGTTGTCGTGGTAGAAAGTGGACCAACGAGCCGATATTGTGATTGGTGATTTTATTTGGAATTGAACTTAGTTTTTACAGTTCAGTTTCTAGCCGCCATGATATCTTGTTGGTTGAAGTTTTACTATAGCGTGATCATAGCCAGCGGTTACAGTTTGTTATATAATATGCCAGCAGCGCTCATGTTGAAAGAATCTCAAGTCCATCTTCTACTCTTATTAATCTTTCTCCACTTTCCTCCTAACTATTGCTTCTAAAGAAATGTCTACCAATTCAGCTGAAGAGCTTATTCAACAACACCCCACCAATGTGGTTGCTAACCCGGGGTATAAGACCGCATCCGATAAATCCTGGTCCAACTCCTACAAGCCCATAAAGAGCACAACCTCCTACATAAAAATTCAGAATGGCGTTATAGACGCCAATTTCGAAAATGCCTTCATGGGAATGATGGAAGATGACGCCATGCGCTTTCGTCGGCCAGCCGTTCCTACCAATCAACGTTATTGGAGACTTGAGACTGAAGCAGATTGCGAGAACTGGTTCAATACTGAGATAACTAACGTGGTTCTCTCTGCTTGGCATTCGAATCCACCACTTATGCAGACCTCTCACACTAAACCACTGACAGAAGAAAATATCCCCGAAAATGTGGATTGCACATTTTCAGTAAAGCATGGCGGAAAGAGATACACTGTGGCTATTGGGGAGTTTAAACGCAACCTTCTCGATCCGAATGAGTGGGGAAGTGGCTTTATTACTAAAGGTGGCCAAAGGAAACTTTCACAAGAACTCAGAGGGTAAGTTCACCCACGGGGAGCAAGACTTCAGACCGAAAGACAAGGTGACAAAATAAATTGAGCTAAAATTTCCTAAAATTAAGATAAGCTTACCTAAATCTTTTTGTCACCTAGGGTTAAGGTCTCAAGTTTCTTGATATCCCTCAGGTGCCTTCACCTATATTCCTCTTTTCCTATCGTACAATTAAAAGCCAAAAGACAGCTAACTGATAATAGATATGCAAGCAAATATAAGTGTCCCCAAGTCTTTTGTTTCGACGGTTCGAACCTTGTTCTCCTACAGTTTCGGGCACACAGAGTCGAGGGTATCAAGAATGAGGACTGCGAGATTGACTCCTGGATGATTCCTGTGAAGTATGCCTATTCCCTTTCCTTTTTTCCATTTTTTAAAGAAATTGCGAAAAAAAAGAGATCAATCAGGCTAAAATTTTCAAGGAACTCATCATGCAGCCTTCGGTATGCACTTTATCGCCTCTTGGCTCAAGGATGGAGACGTTGCCAAGGAGAGGTGGCCGCAGTCACAGGTTTCACTGTAGGGGGGCTTGCACCATGTTCACGGGAGTATTACACTGGCGTGCCCATTTGGAAGGCGGCTAATGGTCAGAGGCAGAAGTCGCACCCCTTGGGCTATCAACGAACTGTTGATGGATCAACTGGGGCTGTAGTATGGTCTCACCAGGCTTACCAAGCGGAGTGGGAGACAGGTGCCTTTTGGTAATCTATTGTGTAGTTGAATATGAATAAATATAAATAAATATAAATAAACACCTAGCCGCAGACAAGAACCCTCCGATCCGAACACCCAGGTGGATACGAGAGCCGAGCAGCCGAGACAACCCACTGATATCCCACTTGCGCTACCTGTCTGCTCCCTTAACCTATCGGATAAGTGCCTAGAGCAACACTATAGTGCACTTATCTCTACAACACTAGTTAAGAGATAGATTAGGGAACGTCAAGTGTAGCTAATCTCAACAAAGGGAAAGGGAAGAAGAGAAGGGGGGGGGGGGGGGAGAGAAAGAAAGAAAGAAAGAAAGAAAAAGAGAGAATGAAACGAAAAGTCTGCTTCAGGCATCGACGACCCGTCTTAGGACTGTCCCCTGGCCGCTTCCCTCCTGGGTGGCTAGCCTTGATTTTCAATTTTTAAGAGTCCGGCCTCGACCATAATTCATGTTCGGTTTTGATCAGCAATGCCCATCTTAAGACTGTTAGTGAATGACAAGGGCGCTAGACTGTGCATGCGCCACGGTTAGTCCACTTTGGGGCATTTTCGACAAACATACAATGAAGGATTACTGACGGTGGGCCCGCACCTTACTGTATAAATTTCTCTGGTATTAGTAAGTTTTATACTGTATCGAGTGTCTAGTTTGAGTCGGTTAATATGTGATGTTTAAGGCGGCAAAACAATTGGTGGTTATGTCTCGGTTCTTGGAACCTGGTTGGCAAGCTACTCTGGACATGCTTGAGCAGGTTTCGGGGATGACGCTCTGTGAACTGCCCTCTTTGTGGGGTTTTCATTGTTGTGAGTGTTGCTTGAAGTTGTAATATTAGGGATGTACGCTTTATCAAGCTGGTGTTGGCGTGGATGGGATACCCCTAGTAGTTAATAATAATATTAATTGTATTAGAGTTGATGTTTCTGCTACACTTTATATGGGGTAGAGTTGATTTAATGAGCATGTTTATAGAGGAAGACTTTAGGTCAAGTTCATTTAGGAAAATGTTATTAGTTACTTCTTTACGCTCCTAAAGCTAGGTATAACAGATAGTAGGCGTTTGTAAACGTATGTTCTCTATAGTTTTCTCACCACATTAGGGGTTGCTCCAGCTTAAATTATATCCCAATAAAGCGTAAACGTAGGGGCCATGATTTCGTGTATCAGGACCTGATACTGGGGGTAATTGGTACAGTATAATCGTCTGCGAATGATACCTAGGGTGGGTAAGCTATGAAAGCTAAAGTACGCGTTCACTCGTGTGTGTGACGCGCCGATTGTCAATCGAAAGGGGACAAATCAGTCGCTATGGATTAAATGGGAATAAACCGGAGATAGTCAAGTACCTGAGAAGAAGACAGGGGTATGCGACAATTAGGAATAAAAGAGTAAGGTTGTATCAACTAATTTTTAAGTTCACAATCCTTACATCTATGCACATTACAAGACGGACAACGATCAACAAGTGCAATATTAAACCAACCGTCCCCGCAAATGCACTGTCCATAAATGAGACATTTTCTATTCAAGTAATTCAAATGGGTAACTTACACATTGGTAAAGCATTGGTATAGGACCAGTACGAATAGTAGCGGGCATTTTTTCAGAGATACTCGACAAACGGCTCTTTTGTTTTACTGCTGTCCGATGGACAGCATCGCCTGTAGAGATATGGGGTGGCCCGGAGTTCAAGTGGTATAACTAACATAAAGTTAGTCAATTTTGCCTTTTCAAGAGTAAAACCAATACATTAGTTGTACAGGTCCTACCCTCTCCGCGAATAGTGTGCATTACCCTTATACTGCTGGGTCCTATGTCTTCCATTTCTTTGGATTTGTTCATGTGTAGGTGATTAAGTGCGTCTGTGTGACCCATTGAATACGCGAGGTCGTACGGGGTGCTCCCGTATTCGTCCTTTGCGCAGGGATCTGCGCCTTGCTTGAGGAGGCGTTTGATTACCTCGACATTACCAGCGAGCGCAGCAGAATGAAGTGGTGCCATTTTTATGCCATCCGTTCGGTTCGGATCGGCACCCTCAGCAAATAGCATGTCCATGACATTCACATGGCCTCGTAGAGCCGCCGCGTGAAACGCTGTAGCACCCAGCCGACCACCCTCGGCGTCGATCTCTGCGCCCTGTGATAGAAGAGCTCTGACGCAATACTCAAGGCCGAACGATGCTGCATAATAGAGCGATGTGGCTTGTCTAGGGTAAGCATTCCAACACAGTTTGCGCTCTTTTATAGCTGATGTGTATTCCTGTTTGTTGCCAAACATTGGGCGAGAGCATATAACCTGTACCCAGGACATAAAAATAGTACGACAACTGGGACTGAAAAAACGCAGAGCCTTGTTACTAAGTTCTTCAGAAAAGAGGTTGGCATTTCGAACGTAGGCGGCCCACCATATCGATGCATGGTAGAGGAAGGGATAGCGAAGTAGGCGACTCTCAAAGTCATCAGCACTACCAGCAGGGCCGGATCGGAAGTCCGCGAATGAGAGATACGTCAAACAGCTTAGTGCATTCTGTATGTTTGCCTCAGATTCAGAAAATGCAAATATTGAGGCCCTGCTTCTCTTGATTGCATCTGATAAGAGATAGTCCTTGACGGACAGATGCGCCAGCATGACGTTTCCTTTGGCTGTAACCACAATAAGATTTCCGCATAGATCTTGAATATCCTCAGGACTGATTAGTAGGGCAGCTTCTTCGCAAATATGGTCCATGTTCGGTTCGATGGCCAAACTTTCGTGAAGCTCACCAAGAGACAAGGGCGAGACAGTACATACTAGCCATTGGAGTAGCTGCCTTACAATTCTGATCGTCCCGGATGGAATTTTGACAAGGATGTTTTCGTATGTTTCGTGCAGACCTTTCGGGAGGGTTTTGAGGGCTTCTCTGATGTCTTTCATAGTCTTGAACTGCGCAATTTCATCAAGCTGGCATCGAACCCAAAAGAACCTGATCTCCAGTTTAGCTCTACAATCATTCGCAAATCAGATAATGACACAGTTAGATCAACTTACATCCCGCTGGCTTGCACTCTCAATGACTGTAGGATAGTTTCTCTGAAAGATGGCTTAAGTTTCAGCATCCTGAAGCCTGGATCGTGGTCCAGCCGGTAGTTTATATAGCGGTCGATGTCAGAATTTAAACAGTTCGAAACAGACTCCAGACGTATCCTTGGAAAGTCTGATAATACTTCGCGAATATCGGCCTCGTCGCGACTGCTAAGAAGTATATTCAAATGATGCCCTTGGGTACCCAATTGGCGAAACAGTTCAAGGATGCCTCGCCGACTCTCGCACTCATCAAGCGCATCAACAAGGATTATCACATGATGCTTAGACGTTAGCAACATGAGGATCTCGCTGAGAGTCCGCAGGTCCGTCTGCCTGACGTAAGGAGATTGGGTCGATGTGTTCCTTTCAAAGACTTCCTCGAGATCTTTTGGGAAACGACCCAATTGCGTACATATCTGAGCGATAAGAGAGCCAACCAAGTTGAGAGGATTACGTGTTTCTGGGCTTCTGAAATCGCAATAGAAATACGCCATGTAGGTACGGTCGTTCTGGTTGCCGCATTGCTGGATGAAATCTATCACGGTCGACACAAGAACAGTTTTTCCAGATCCGAGGATACCAGTCAACCAAAGGACGGAACTTTTGGCACGCCGCCAAAATTTGAACTTCTCGTAAGACAAGAGCCAGTCGTTCGTCCCAGTTACGCGCATATCCATAGCTGCACAATGGCTTGTAAAGGGGTCAACAGGCGACAGCCAATTAAGAATTTGTCGTGTCCGGTCAGTAGCTTCTCGATTATTCTGGCGGTCGTTCAACGTATGCAAGCAACACATGAGGTCAGCTTGTGACCTCTCTATGCGTCCTAAGCCATCTACCAGTCCGGTAAGCTGTCTTTTAAATTCAGTTGATGTTTTCTTGATCTCCAAGGTTAGCTTCCGGTGATCGTTTTCTAAAGCCAGCCATAGGAGGGACTTCTCGCGCTCAATGGCAGCAAGAATCTTCTCCACCTCTCTCTCTGTGAATGGCCATTTGAGAGTTTCCAACACCTTCTTATGCCCTCCTTTGGACAGAAGCTTAGCTTGGATGGTCTGCAAGGTAACATCAAGTCGCCCCAGAGGCCCCTTGGGACCTTGAAGGGCCTCGATTGTACAAGACCATGCCTTGCCTTCCTCCGAATCATCCGCCCCATCCTTCAGCTGCTGGAGTATGTATTCACAGGTCCGGACCTCTTCTCGAAGACGCTTCCGCTGGTTAGTTGCGCCAGCAGCTGCGTTTACATATTTGACAACCTCGGAGGACAGCTGGATAGTGGCGATGATACTCGCGGTTGTGCTGAGTGGATCCATCCGGGCGATAAGTTAAATATGCTAACCTCAGACGACCAAAGGAACATTGATTGTTCAATAGTAGAGAAAATCGCACACGGTATAGCTTCGTAGGGTTTTGTAAAGCATGCGTGTAAGGGGTTGCGGTTGACTTTATGAAGTACTCCAGGAAGAGACAACTTCCATGTTGCTCCACAGTACTGGGCCTGCTATTGGCTCATATGCCTACATAATCAGCACCCATGATGCATATCGGTAAGCAATGTTGGCAAGCCACTGTGACTAACCCCAGCACATGAGCCAATTATTGATACACACGTATAGAATTGATTATGGCCGGTACCTACTGTAACAAGGGTTGTCTGTAATGTGCCGGATTACACATTGCTATTCCCAACTGTGCACGGGAGTGAGGTCTTCCCCAACTAGCCTCTAGCCACTTTTCAGCCCAAAATCTCTACTCTTCTATTCTTAATTATTATAAAACCCAAATTATCGCCCCACCTCCTGTTCATTCTTATATATATCTATCTCTAACCTATTTACATATATTAATTTCCATAGCGACTATAATTACTACCTTACGCATTACCAACATATCTAAATACATGCCACATAAAGGCTCTCATATTACTTAAAACTAATAATTGAGGCAACTGATTAATTGACCTAATTATAATAAGTTATATTAAATATATTACTTTTATATAAAAACCTCTATAAATCAAGGTTAAATCCTTATATTCAACTACTAGTAAAGAGATTATAATATTAGTATAAGTGCCCATTATTAATTATACACATGAGATACTCAGCTTATACAGTAGTAATCCTATAAGTTAAAGGGAAGTATCTAACTTCTGCTGCCCTCTTTATTATGCAGCTTACTAAGTGTGACGGTTGGATTCTGAGGTAGCCCCTAGGGTCATAACATTAAGAGCCTTCTCTACGGCTTAATTCTGATATAGTTTGCAGGGTAAAGCGTATTACCTCACAATTGAGGAAATATCCCTTCAATTGTGGAGGAGCTCCGGCAGGTACCCCGCCCCACACTATCCCTGTCAATGGCGAGGTACCTCAGGGAAACCAAACGACACGTCATTGAGCAAGACCGTCCAACCTCCAATACAAGCCAATCTTAATCAGACAATGACTTCCCAATCAGCACCATCATCACCACCAATTGAGGCACTTAAGCCGTCTGATGATAGTAGTTTTATCAATGAAGATAACAGCCGTCAAGAGCACGAGGGTGATAGCACTCGGAGACCGGCTTTTCCAGCTGCCGATGACCGAGGCTTCAATTTTCATCCCTTCGACGTGTCGCGACGGGAACTTCTCGTCAACGAGCTGCCCCAGAGCCCATTGTCACTTTTCCAACACACTTCATACCAATTTCTATAGTCAAAGAATGGGTTAAATACACCAATGATTGGGTTACTAGCCTCATCTAACGCGGCGTTGTCGATAGTCAAGAACACGAAATGACAGGAAAATCACGCCTCAATGCCTGGAAGCCAACAACGATTGCAGAGATGTACATTTGGCCTGGGATCCTTATCTATATGGGGATCCATAATGAGATAACGGTTGAAGATTATTGGAAAACATCTCGGCTAGAGGATCAACGGCCTGAACACTCGATAATCAAATTCATGACTTACGATCGATTCCAGATTCTTTATCGTCATGTCCGTGTTTTTGACCACACCGAATTCGCTAACGGTTATGAAAACCTTCCTACCGTCTTCCAATGCGTTGAGTCATGGTCTCAGCACCTTCAACACGCAACGACAGAGCTCTGCGAGCCGGGCTCCCATCTTGCCGTCGACGAGGCTATGATCCGATATACCGGAAGGAACAAGCAAGTCACGCGCGTCCCCAACAAGCCTGTTGATACAGGCTTCAAGGTGTGGATAGCTGCCCAGCTAGGCATCTTCATGAGGTGGATATGGCACCAGCCCGGCGCAAGATACGGTCCTGTTGGTGTCCAGAAGAAGCCGGCATCACAAAAGAAGAAAACCAAGGGAAAAGTCAAGGCTTCTAGCAAAACTGATAAGGTAGAGGATGTTATTTACGTGGCTACGGAAGCCGAGGCTAAGATCGTGGCTCTTAACTCGACTCAAAGCGTCGTTGTTGCCCTTATTAATCTGCTGCCGATATCGACATATCACGTTTTTGTCGATAACCTCTTCTCATCGCCGGACCTCTTTCGTTCTCTTCGTCAGCACGGCCACGGCGCAACCGGCACAGCTCGGTCAAACTGTGGCATCTACAATGGTCTTGTAGAGGCTAAAAGGGCCGACAAGGCAGGAAAGTCGGGATTCCAGTTCAATGAGATCAAGGTCATCCCAACGGCTGATAATCAGGTAAGATGATTTGATCTTCTTCTAACGTATCTACTGACTAGTCTTCCTTCTCCCCTATTATAGGTCAACCAAGTCGCATGGAAGGATAATGCACTCGTATTATTCCTTTTAACCGTCTTCGCCGGCGATGAGAGGACTGAGCGTTGGAGGAGGAGACCATCGACGAAGACTCCGACGGCACGACCGATACGGCGCTTTTTTGGCAGTAAGCCAGCCAAGCTAATATCGATCCCTACAATCGCTGCTTCTTACAACGACGAGATGAATCATGTTGACCGAGGCGACCAAAGACGGCCATATCTTGGCTACGATCATCCTATGCGCCGAGGCGCTTGGCAAGCTATTGCATAGACCTTTTTACTGGATGTAGTGCTAGTAAACAGCTTCCTCTTACAGCTACATGGCCAGCCGGCCTGGAACCGTTACACGAACCAGAAGAAGTGGAGGGAATGCCTCTACAACGAGGTCTTCAAAGCCTTCCACTCGGAAAGCCAATCAAGGCAGCTTTTTCGACCTGGAGACGAATTTCACGCCTGCTACACAACATAACATGTCCGAAGAGGAAAAAAGTCAAACTGCCACGCTTGCCAGGGGCCTCAATTAGGGCGGCCAGGGTCAAGAAGCTCAAGAAGGCCGCTGGAGCCGGTCAGTCGCAATAAAAGGAGGCGTCAGACCGTTTGAGGGTGTCAGCAGTGTAATGTAGCGATTTGTCACTCGAGGGATTGCTGGTACTTCTATCATGGGCTAAAATAGGTGGGATGCTAGGTATCTATGATTTGGCTCATTTTAATTGGTTGCACCACTCTGTCGTGACCTGGCCGGAGCTCCTCCACAATTGAAGGGATAGTAGTCAGAGAGTAGAGCGTTAGACGTGTTTCCTGAGCAATAAACAGAGCAAGAAATTTTCCATTCAAAACGAGACCTCTTGAGACATCCTACTTTGCCAAGATCTTGAGCACTGGGAGAGCTTGAGGTAAGAATAAGGTGATGTTAAGAGAGCTGGTCACGCTGGGTTCGTCAGGAAGTATTTATGGGTCCGCGAAGAACTGACCAATTGAATGTTATATAAAGTCATGCTGCTGTAAGGTCATGCCTCTGTACCAAAACTGTCATGCCGCTCTATCAATTCCCATTTATAATCATTTCGCTGAAGCAATATAGCGGGAATAACCAGTGCTATCTAGTTGTATTCTTTAACGAGCTTGAACATATCAAGCGGACCTGAATAAACCTATGAGCTCGTAGTTTTTCTTCTTCCATGGTTCCTTCATGATGTTATCTTCTGGACTCATACCACAATGTTCACTAATCGTTCCATTCAGAACCATGTCACTCGATATACGTAGCAACCTCCAAGATGTTCTATCCTTTTTCATAAAGGAATGGCCTATCGTCGTTAATATAAAAACCTGTCGCGTCGCCTGGAATGCCAACTCACCCGCAGTGTTGTTGACTAGCAACGGCATATCTTCGTAGCCTTCCATCATCTTCATGGTTCACAAGTTTCTCGTTGTCAGCTACTCCACAGGCTACAAAGCCTTGGTGGTCATACCAAAGTCGTGTACAACACGCTGAGGGGGAGTCGTTTGTGCCAGAAATTGGCGTAACAATGAGTGAGGCCTTAACACAGCATCCATTTCTTCCTGTTTCGCCTCAAGATGGCTACGCATAGCATACTGTTTGCCCTCATTGTGAAGCATCTCACGAATCCATTTCGTCCTCTGAAGGATTTCTTGATTAATTCGGGGGAGAGACCCAATGGCTTCGACGAGGGCCATAACATTATGGCGAGACGGCAGGATGATGGTGGGTCGGTTGGGGATACCTGGTGGCCGACTAGATGTCGATAGGATGGGAAGGCGTAGATAGTCCTGATACCGCTCAGCGTTGTTGATTGAATCAGGAAACCGCCAAGGCAACACAAGCGTTATCTTCCCTCGATGACTCCACTTAGGCCCGACAAGATCCATCAAGCAATCCATGGCTTGCTCACAAATTCTGTTTTTCTCCTTTGCTTTGGTTCCGTGTACCAAGCTGTTACGAACGACCAACTGTGCCCAAAGTTGTGTAAAGACGTTGGAGCGATCCTGATACTCTATGGCGTTGAGAGCACTACAGATCTGGGGCGACGGTGTATAAGGGTTTTGAAGTTGATAATTAGCAACAGAGACCCAGGAGGAAAAGTCAACACATTGTGGTGGCGAGAAATAGGGTGCCCAGTATTGTATCCGAAAAAATGCCACTTTCTGGTACCATGTCCCAGGTCTCCGATCTGTGGCGACGTCTTTGCTTGAGTCGCTATTAAACGTGACTAGGATGTATCTTCCAATTGCGCAACGAAAATGATCATCAAATGGATCTGTGTAGCTCTCGACTACTCCCCACAGATCTTTGAACTTCCGGTAAAGATTCAGGAAGTAGAGATTGCTCCAAGACGCGATATTCTCACAATCAAAAAGACGTTGGTATACAGATTCAGACCAACTATCATTAGGCGGAACATACTTGCGTGTCGCCATCCAGCAAGGTACATTGGGTGGTAAATCTCCACCGTCGGACACAGGGTGAATGCGGATGTAAGCGCTCCAAGCTTCGTCATATATTTCCCATATCGTCTGCGCAGTGACGATACGGCCAACTTGTCCTGACTCCTGTTCAATCTGTTGCAGTTGCTGAAGGCGGGGCAATCTATGGCAGCCGACCTGAGTGCGGACTCGTTCCCAATACAGTTGTAGCTTTGCTATCATGTGCTGGTGATAAGCCCTGGCTATCTCCTCTGTCATCGGGCGCATGACTTTCTCGATAACCTCATTGCCATTTCGCTGACAACCGCGATCAAATTCGTTTTTCGCTTGATTAAGCAACTGTCTCAGAGATAGCTCGATACTGATACTGGATGCAGCAAGACGCTGCACATTCATCTGAGATAGAAGGCCTCGCTGGATGGGATTTCGAGGTATGTAAAGTTGGATAAGCTTTTCCAAAGCGATATGTCCGGCATACCAGTCTATACACGAGTGAGGAATCCAGAGCATCCCTGAATTTTGGATAGTCTCACTTAAGCCGAGGCCGAGCCGCTCTCGCAACTCTCTGGTGTGGTGTGTTCGGCTACGTGAAGTCCATCGCGAAAGCCAAATCCAATTATCATACGGGAATTGCTCTTTACTGGTCAGTGCATAGGTGAGAAGTCGGCAAAAGAGCTGGGCTGTATAGAAAGCAAGAATTAGAGAAGGTGGCGAAATAGTGTTGGAGATGGAAGCTTCGCGAAATAAGTGATCTAGAGGAACAATGAATCTAGCAGCTTGCGTGAACACAAGATCGTTTATGTCTTTGGTAGATACGACCCAGAATGGTTGGTGATTGGTGCCAGTAGATGTAGGGGAAATTTCGAGAGACCTTTGGGCCATATGAGGATTCTGGCTTGGCTCAAAGTAGCCGTCATGCCACATTGTGAGAATCACGTCAAGCCGAAATGTCAACTCTTTACGGATGCCATAGTTTGTTGAGTTTCTTGCATCCATGGCAGCTTTGATATGACGTTTGTTGGCATCCCACGCCTTCGATAGAGCATTACGATGGACGTGGAAGGTTGGTGCTTGATGACGGCCCTGATCGGCCGATGAAAGATCGCTGATCATACTCTGATTCAAAGCAAGAAGGGGAAGAAGCCCCGAGCCAAATAATTCGTATTCACTAAACATGACAGCGAATACTTCTTTGTGACAGCTGTATGCCTTGGCACGAATAATGCCTGGCTTGCGCTCATCTGGGTGGCCTGGGTTCGATGCTCGCGTACGCTTCGCTTTGACTTGGTAATCTCCAAGGTCACGGAGCAAAAACCGCTGAAAAGTTTGAGCATTCATCGGGGACGTGGGTGCACATCTGGACAACTGCTCATGTAGATAAGGATGGCACTGACTCTTCCAAAACAGAGTGTAAGGTTCTCGCATCACTTGGCTAGAAGATGGAGGTGTCGCGACATAATCACGAGTCCCGATATCAATCCAGCAAGAACGGATATCCAGATGGACAGGGTCAAAGGCTTGGAGAACAGATGCCTGAAAGTAATGTAGGCTTTCGATCAGTGTCGCTCTCCCGAACGTATTCTTCAGGTCATGAGACTGAAATAGCAGCTTGGGATCCCTGAAATAGGACACCATTACGCCGCTTTTTGTGGTCAATCGGAAAGAATTCGCTTTTTCGACTATCAGACTCCAGAACTGCGCAAGATTCTCTGCCGGAATTGTGTACTGTAGATGAACAGCTCTGTTCACGTCTCCTGGTTTCCAACGGTTATTTCCAGGTTTTTCCTGGAAAGAGCGAGATTTAGCATATGCAATTTCATACGTTCTCGGTAACTCCTGCCGACAAGGATCGGGTACTGCTTCAAAAGCTGCCGGAATGATGACATGATCATAGAGATCTTGTTGGCGCTCCAGTGACAGAGCGTTCTGAGTTGATGACGTCATGTCTTTTGCAGCGTTCGGGAAGAAGACAAACGCGGAGAATGGTACACTGTGTGCGTTGAATGTCCCGAGTTTAATATGTCGTGTCCTTGCCAGGTCCAGTCCGTGTGGCTGAATTATCTCATCTTTGGATATGTTCAAGGCTGCAGAGGGAAGAAAGGACAACCTAAAGCTGTTGGGCGATTGGATTGCTTGAAGGCCTTTTGCCCCAAACCAGATGCTATCGATGTCCCATTGCCTAGACAATGACAGCGCTGGTTGACCGGGATGGCAAAAAGCCTGTGATGATTTGCTAAATGAAAGTGGCTGGATCGGTTCGTCGGCAAGGAAGCTTTTCCACTGCTGGAAAGAGCTGCTGGGGTCATAAGAGCCCGTCTCACCAAACACTGTGGACAGAGGAGGAATAAACTGTCGAAGCTGCTCGACGCGCTCCCGAAGAGAGTCAGAGAGCCCGGCCACGTCACCCTCAACCCAATGTGTACCTGGTCCAAACACTCAGTATTATGTTAACCGTGACGCTAGGTTGTTTCGAACATACAATTACACTTAGAGCTATAGAAGACCTTAAAAATCTGGTCGTAGGCACGTTTATACGGGTCGAGGAACTCGGGGGTCCATCCAGTATTTTGTTGAAGAGAGTTGATGAAGCTTTGCAAGGTTTCATTGCGAGGCTGAGCGGCGGTCAAGGTGGCATCATCACCCAAGCTATCATGAGGTTCGACGCTAGAGCTCCCTGCATCGGCCTGCTGAAACACGAAAGGACGTTGTACAGACGTACTTGTAGTGGCACGACCGTGATGATTTGTCGATTCCGATGGCCTTGGTTCAGTCGAGGGTATCGTCGGTGGAATACGTGATCGATGCCGCCTGTCACGAAACTCTCGCACGCGTTGTCTTGTGAGAGCTCGCGTCAATTCAAGAGGGGCCGTTCGACGTACGCACAAAGGCGCTGAGTTTACATTCTCGGGTGCAGCAGCCTGTTGCGTGCCATTCTGTATATCTATCAGCTGTCCAGTAGAAGAGGGAATGACCTCAGGATCAATTGCATCACAGGTTGTTGGGCAGCAGGACGCTCGGTTATCGAGACCTGGTGCTGGTATAACGCTTCCATGAGCAGTCGATACGGGAGTTGAAATCGGAATCGACACTTGAAGCGTCGAAGGGCTGATGATGTTCATATCAGGCCCGACGTGATGGCGCGACACGTCCCTGACCAACACCAAATTGCGTGTAGGGTCCACCATGCGAACCCCACTATGGCCTGAATATTCCTCGCGAACCAGCGTTTGTTGCATTTGGCGCTTCAGGAAACGGCGATTTCTCGCCCGTTCACGCTCGCTCTCGATCTTATTTGGATTCGTGATGGCTCGGCGACCCATCGTTCATTAGAGGCTTGGGAAACATACTCATATGGCTGTGGCCGTAAATGAGCTAGATACCCTTCAAAACGGCACCTTTAGGGTCGACTTTCACCAGCCCCTATTATTTAAGTTTAATGAGTGTGGGGTGATGCCCCACGCAGATAAACTGTAACAATCTGGCATAGTCTTATGTCATTTATACATGCTCAACTTGTGAAGGTTTTGCATAAGATAACCCCAGTGGGTTCAAGCAGGGTTCAAGATTGTTATTCGGCATTCTATTGGCTCTCAAAGGAGTTGCAGGGATACCGTCCATTTTTAACAGAATTTGATTGGCTGTGCCTAGGCAGGGGGAGGAACAGATTGGCTGATGATTACCCTGTAGTTACCATTTCTCAAGTTTCACGACCGATTTTGAGCCCATTAAGGAACCAATAAATACTTTTGTAATAAAACAGGATCTTCAATATTCTTTTATGCGCCTTATTCCATATTCTAATGCGTGAAACCGATGTTGTGATGTTGTTGCGTCAGGTGAAGCTTGCTTGAACCCATGCCACATAACGGCTAAAATCCGAAACCCTAAGTCTGACATTGATTACTGATAACGCTGTTAATAGGGCCTTTGTAAAAGCCCTAGGCAGCCGGCCTGACCTTGAGGTCGAGATCGAACCCCTAGTCCAGCAAGACTCCTCCCTCCGGGCTGACTTTGCAGTCACTATTGGAAATAGCCGCTACTTCTATGATATCCAAATCGTAGCTATCTCCAAGGACTCTGCAAAGGAGGACCCCTATAGCACCTTGAAGGAAGCTGCTAGTGAGAAAAGGCGGAAATATCAGTCTCTTGGAGCCTTCTTCCACCCTCTTATCTTCTCAGCAGGCGGCCTTATGGATCAGGAGACCTCACAGACCTACAAGAAGCTCCAAGAGCTCTTAGGTCCCTTTGCAGCCTCACAGCTAGACTCAACTATCGGCCTTACCTTGACTAAGACTAGGGCTATCTCAGCTGCCTCTATAGCTCGAGATCTACCTAGGAGAACGCACTCCTAGATGCCGACCTATCTTTCTTCCTAACCTATCTTCCTTTTTAATTTATCTCTTTTCCTTATTTTTCCTTTATATTTATCTCTCTTCTTTATTTTTCCTTTACCTCTATCTCTCTTCTATCTCTATCTCTTTCTAATCTTTATATCTTTCCTATTTCTATCCCTTTCCTATCTCTATCTCTTTCCTATCTCTATTTCTTTCCTATCTATATCTTACCTATATTCCTATCTATCCTTCTTATATTTATATCTCTTTTATCTCTTTTTATCTCTCCATCTCTTTTTCTTATTATCTTTCTAATCTCCCTTTTATCTCTTCTATTTATCTCTTTTTTATAGTCTTTATAAATCCTTATATAAATAGCACTTGAGCAAGATAGCTTTCCGTAGCCTAATATAACCCTATCCTAACCCTGCTTGTCGGTCTTCTGACTACCCTGCTTGCGTTTCGGTACCTTCTTCTCCTTTCCTTCTTCTGCACTCTCTAAAAACTGATGCCACAGCTTGCTGATCTCCTTGAACGTCGCAATCATCTCCGGCTGCAGCTTGCCCGGGAAGCCGATATGTACGGCGTAGTGCTGCCTTGCAATGCGTGTTCCGTGTGTCGACTGTAGATCCCACACGATATTCCAGCTTCCTCCACAGTCAACCGGCTCACCTGTGATCGGGTCGATCTCGACGTTTTCATCCTCATCCTCATCATCCATCTTACCTTCTAGCTGCCTTATCACGAGTCCTCGAATCCTCCGTCCCATCTCGATTGCAATCGCCCGATATCGTCCTACCCCTAGTCTGACCCCTGTCCCGGCCTGCATAACACGAGCAAGCTTCTTACTGAGCCGGTCGGTTTCCCATACCGACGAGCTGCCATCCCTCCACATATACTCAAGCTGCTCTCCATGCGGCTCGTTAAGCTGACATTCCTGCCGTAGTACCCTCTCGGTCGGAAGTAGCCATGCAATATATGCCACTACCATTCGCCCGATCCGGTCGGGGATAAACCGTGCTACCTTGCGGCCATTATCACGGATTGCCTTCATCTTGTCACGATCAGTCACGATCATGACTTGCCCGTCTAGTATGAACACGTTCCGGATCAGCTGCCACGAATCGCAGTGCCGTAATGTTGTAATTTCTGGTCCCCTTCCCGGAAGCCCACCCCATGTATGCACAAGCACGAGCAGCGTCTCTCGTAGCAGCCGCAAGTCTCGAAGCCACCTCTTAACACGCTGCCGCTTCCATCGGACCCTCGCAGCATCCCATATCGATGCTTCCATCAGCCGCATCACCTTTGCCGGCCCGGCCTCCAGCCACTTGTTCTTCGGGTTGCTTGCAAATGACTGACCTGCCCCGAGCCGTATCATATTATCGACGATCCGACCCATATCGATCTTCTTACTGACTGTCTGCCACACCCCACCAAACAGCCCATTTAGCAGCTTCTCTGCTTCAGTAACCTCATCGCGTAGTGTGCAGGTAAAATCCTCGACGCTGATGTGCTCGCCCATGTGAAATAATCCCTCTTCGTCGTCAGACCATCGTATCGACGGCTGCCCCCCGTTCTTCTGCCGGTACCCTTTTCCGTATGCCATCCATCCGATAATCGTACTTATGACGCTGTGAGTGCCTATACACATCCATGATGTATGCTCCTCTCGAAATGCAAGTACGGCCTCTATCCCAACCTCATCTTGATCTACCGGCTGGTTCTCAAATACAGCTTCTAAAAAGAACAGCCGGGCCCACCATAGTATACCAGCTAGCATACCAGTGTACAAATGCGGCTCCAAATAGCCTAGTGGGTGTCGGTTAATACCTAGTGCCGCACAGAAGCATAGTAGCGAATTCGTATATACATTTCCGCCGACGTGAGTTTTGATCGAAGCCACGATGAAGTTGAATACGGCTCGATCTAGCGCACCATCTAGTGAGCTAGTCATACCTTCATTTCCTCGCTCGTCTTCATCACTATTATCATCATCTTGATATTCGTCTTCGTCTTTATCAGTAGCTTGTCTCTCTCTGCCGCTGAAGAATCCGCTGTCGTGACTGCTTGGAACCCGGTCTCTTTCAAGCTCGTCTGCAATATCCTGTAGCAAACTCCACTGCTCATCCGTAAAGCGAACGGCCCAGCGTTCAAGCGCTTCCTTACGACCGATATGATATGCCTTCCAGCAGAAACCCAAGTAACGGTGACCGACAGACTTGTATTTGATCATCGATGCCTCCTTGCCTTTGCGGCCGAACGGTTGACCGGACGGGGTTGTCGATGAAATGCTAGCGAGCCACTGCAGCGTCTCAGTCGGCACGCTGTCAAGTCGCCAGCAGCAACGTTCCACCTCACGATCAAAGCTCTGTCCAAGCCGGCCAAGCAATAGTCGTTCGCGGACTGCTTCTTCATCGTCTTGTGCCACAGTCCGCCTGCCCGTTGCTGCCCTCGCCCGTAGCCACTCGGCTGCGTCGTGAATACTGGTCAAGTCCCGGGAGCCAAAGTGTCGTACCCAGCCTACCCTTTTAACCCACGACGAGTCACGGTCGATATCTTCCTTTAAGTCACCTTTTCGCAGTCGTGCGGCATCTTTCTCTTTCAATCGAGCCTCACTTGCGGCGATAACCTCATCCATAGCGCTCTGACTTCTAGCATTAGCTTCGTCAGCCGTATCGGACGGGCCATTGCTATCGCTATCGTCTCGAACGATCCAGTAGCGCGCATAATGTCCTCCCATCCACGTCTGCAGCCGCACCTCGGTCCATCGCTCCTCTGCTGCTCCATGCCCTGCCTCTCTCCAGTGGCGGACAATATTATCTCGTGCAATAGTGAGATATCGGCATGCGTTGCAGCTGTATCCGTGTGAAATAACAAGCTGTTCAATTGCCTCACTGTTATCTTCGGGGGTTGCAGCAAGCTTCGGGTCAGCTAGTTCAAGTGTGCCGTAGTAGTTTTTGATGTCCTTGAGCCACGAAAAGTGGTATTGGATGCCATTACCAGTGGTAATTGGTACAGTAGGGTTCCAGTCCTACAATTCCGATTTTCACCTATGTCATCTTTATCTTTTCAAATCAATCCTTTGATCTTGCCTCGCTAGTGACTGTTTTCTCGACTGACAGAAGTCATATGCCAGGATGAGCTGATCTAGCACATAGATGAGCCTCGAGATCCAGTAATCGTCTTGAGACCGTATTCTCTGCTCTAGCCAGAGCCTTGCCTGACTCTCCGAAGTCAGATCTATGCCTTCGTGATCCAGCGCCATTTTCGTCAAAATCTTGCCGAGGATTTGATCATCGTACGCGCATAACGCCGCGATGATTCTGCGCACTACTGGTTTGTTCATACAGTAGCCATCATGGTCATGCTTGGCATTATACTCCTTCACCAAATTTGACTTTCTACTGTTGCTTCTTTGACTGCGTGCTTCACGGCGGGCTCGCTCTCCTTGTCCCATCTCGTCACACACGAGCCATCCGTGCCCACACATGCTACACGCCCCCCAGACATCATAGTATCGCGGAATATCGAGGGTGGTAAGCCAGTGCAGAATACGCTTGGCATGCTTGCTAGTGGACCACTGTTCGCAGCTATGTAATCCGTGATTAGGTTCCGGCCGACTCTTGATTATGAAACAAAGCTCGCATCCGACAGATCTCCAAGCCTCAGTGATCTGATGGATCCAGTTAAGTCGATCGATGAGATCGAGGCACGGATCGGCCACGAAGACCTCATTACTGGTCTCGGTTGGGATGACGATCTCTGCTTCTTTATTGTTGAGTAAACGGATTTCAGCTTGCTTCCCTTTGAGATAAGCAATGATCCGTTTCTGCTCATCTGCCGTATCGGAGCTCCCAGACTCATTCGTTTTGCCAAACAGAGGAGCCATAGGCCCCCCGCATGATCTGCTAGGCGGATCCAATATAGATGATGATCCCACGACTTGAACACGCCTTCTTTTCGCCGGCGTTTGTGGAGAAGTGATCACGAAGCTGCGCTTCAACAGGTTCTGCCCCCCATCGTTTCTTGAAAAGAACTTAGCGCTAGATGACGGAGCCGGTGGGGAAGACGGAGGAGGTGATATTAGCAAGCAATCATGAGGATCATCATCGAGACTCGTTGCATTAGTTGTACCAAGCTGTGGAACAATACGATCAGGTCCGGCGTGTATAGGCCTAGAGGCACATCTACTAGGTAGGTGCAAGAATTCGTGCCAACGAACTGATACCCATTCGTAACGTTCAAGCAGCTGAGGCTGTAGATGCGTTGGGAAAGCCCCATCAAGCCCGTATGTCCTGGCTCGCTGCAGCGGACGGTGGCCGCTTGACCAGGCGAATACAACTCCACGATCTGCATTATCCGTCCGGTCATCAAACCTATTAAAAGGTCGGCTCACCTCACGAACATGCTTATCAGCGATCCCAATACAGATCTGTCGTAAGAGGCGCAGGGTAATTCCCTTATCCCAAACCTCCTGTGTGAAGCGTCTGACGGTGTTACTAAGGCGTTCTGTAGACCAGTGGGGGCTGTCAGGCTCTGACCGGCACCGAAAGAAAAAAGGAGAACAACCATTGATGTGCGGTAGTTGCTCTCGAGCAAGCATATCCACGAAAGGGCGAATATATACGAGGTGTGTATACATTAAGTGACCGACTTGGGAAGGGAAGAACCGAGCGACAACGAATTCCCTATTGGTTGAGCGCTTTGCTTTGTGACTGCGAGTGACATAGATCATATAGCCGTTATACACGTAAAGGCTACGCTCGCTAGTCCTATGATTGCGTACTCGGATGTTGAGCAAGTCTGGTGAACGGGGCTGGCCACCGCACGTCATGAGCATTAGACCTGATAAGACCTCGCGCAATGCTTCTTCCTTCTTGAGATATGCAAGTATTGCCTTCTGATTCCATCGCCCTTTGCGTGAGAGAGGGTTCACTTGACTGGTGCAAGCTTTCAAGGATAGTTCCAAATAAGCCTCTGCTAGCCCGTTCTTCGGGTGATTAACGAATGAAAACCCGTGTGTCCTATTTGACATATCGTCTTTGACGGAGAATAGATCGCAAAGCGGTTTCCACCCATACATCAACTGCTCACAAAGAGACTCCGCACGCTCCAGAAGTGCCTTCGGGAGACGTCGAAACTGTTCCATGTGAACCACAATGTCATCTCTGTATGATAAAATCTGACCGTCATCGCTCCATTTGAGAAGAAATGCAGGTGTTTCTGAGCCTGCTATTGCCCTGCCGAATACGAGTAGGGAGAATAACTCCTCGAACGGTGATTGTGATCCGAGGACGAGGTATTCCTGTCGAATATTCTGCAGACGTGCAATCTGACCCGTTCGAGGGCGTCTCGCAATTCCGAGACGAGGGTAGCCCTGCGCTGGCAAAGCGTACTCGAGGAAGAGAAGGCGCTGTGTGTATATCAGCGCGGCAAGGTTAGACGTGTATGACCTGGCCGGAAGGAAACCAGTGAGGTCAGCCGAGAATCCGAGAACACCACTGAAATACACCAGCAGCGTTGAATCTGGGCGACCATCCATAACTTCTTCCCTGCAAAATGCCATGATTAGTCCGAATAGGAGTTCTAGCACCTCTTCGGCCCAGGGTGGTACTTCTTCCCCGCCCGAACTCGTCATCGCTTTGTTCTTCCGGCCGTGATCCTCGTTCCGGCCGTGATCTTCCTCTTCACTCTCATCATCTTCTTCATCTTCTTCATCTTCATCATCCATATCGTCGGTCTCGGAGTCGTCAGCACCCACGACACTACTCTCATCGTCGCTGTCGTCTTCGTCTTCATCTTCACAACCCTCCTCTCCATCAGTGCTCTCTACATCTCGATCAACCTCAACATCGGCCCCGTCAGATAGCTTCATACTTCGCCAAAGCTGCTCGTTCAAAGCATCATGCTGGGCCCAGCCTTCGTGGTTCCACAGTACTGATATCAAACGAAGTTGTGATTTTTTGAAACGGATGCCGGCCTGGTGCTGTCGAATCCCCGCAGGTAGGCGATAAGCTCGAAAGATCATAGCAACGAAGCGCTTGAGAAGACGGATGTACTTCCTCCTGCTTGCCGTCTTTCCTACAAATGTGAAAGGCTTCGCATAACACCCGTGGGGGCGTACACTACGCAACCAACACAGAAGACTTCTGCTTGTTGTCCGTGCCGTTTGCTCGCAGCGGCTCATTACCAAATCCACGGCGGTAATAAGAGCAGTGATTTTGCGTTCATCATCCGCCGAGCTTGTTGTTTGTTCGTCGGGACGAACAGGGCCACCGCGACTACCACCGCCCTCCAGTATCAGCCCCCGACTTAAAGTTGCAGGAGAGGGTGCAGCGCTTAGGTTTCTCAGCAGTTCTCGATGGACTCCTTCAAAAGTCCGTTCCCATCCGGTTCTCTCCAGCCAGGGCCTGAGATCCGTGAATGATGTGGTTCGTGAGTCCCTAGTAGTCACATTCCCATTCGCTGAGCCCCCGCCTAACAGGTCTTTTTGTCGTTCTCTCTCGCGCTCGAAAACACCCTCAAGATGGTCGCAAACTTCCTTGCCCCCGACTGGTCTGATTGTAGACCCGCCATATTCGACAATCCAGTAACGTCCTCCCGAGGGACTTTTAGTCCACGCTTGCAGGAATACAGGTTCGTACATGGCTTTTCTACGCACTCCCAGCTGTAATCTTTGCTTCTCGTGTGCCGGGGTCATGTGACGAGACATGACTTGGGAGCTAGCCGTACGTTCGTTGCAGAACTGGCACCTAAACCCGTGAACAAGATGCAGGTTCGGGTCGTAGGCTGCCCCATCTTGTCGAATAGGAGCCTTGGATGGGCTCTGTAGTAGCGATATACGGGCCTTCAAGAGATCGGTTACCAGACGTCGCTCAGCAGCAGGTATGTTATGCTTCTTTCGGAGATGCTCGCTGACTTGGGCAGGACTGGGGAGAAGGGCGATGCGGCATGTGTCATGGCAGCATATGAGCACTTGAGCATGAGGGTCGGTAGAGAGGTTGAACTGTGAAAGTACTGCAACTTCAGACATTGTCCCTTGTTTGTTTTGTGGCCGGTTCCGTCAGCAACAGGATACGGCAAGTAAAAAAGCGTTGATCAAGGACGCCAAGTGGAGTGACTGCCGGCATGTGGTTTTTAGGTCTGATAAGATTATGTGAATAGGAGGCACGGCGCTAAAACTCCCAAATTATATTCATTACAATTGAGTTTCCAGCGCATCCTTTTGCAACATGAAAGATGCTTCCTATTTGCGGTAACAGGGAATCGGTGCTAGGGGTCCTGGGAAGTTGGAGAGGGCGCACGGACTAAATATTCTTGTATTGCGACCCAAATCCCCAAAAATCTAAAAGAGGAAGGTGCACGGGCCACGAAAAGTGGTATTGGATGCCATTACCAGTGGTAATTGGTACAGTAGGCCCCTGGCGCATTTGGGCATTTGGGGCAAGAAGCGGGATTGGTCGCCCTATGTCCTATTTTTAGGCGCATTTCAGAGGCCAGTCCCCGGCTTTGTGTATGAGTAGTACCGCGAACCGGACCTTTACATGCAAACCAGGACCGCCAGGCCCGAGAGTAAACGCTACTGGTCGCCAACCGAAGATACTTACTTCGGTTTCTGGTACCAATACCGCCTCTCGCCCTGAAGGACGCTCCAACCAGCCATCGTCGATTGAGGTCCCTGCTTCGATCGGAGAGGTGAAGAGCTTGTGTAGATGCAATAAACACGGTGCTTGGCGTTCGAAGAGCGGATAGACCCCTTAAGCAAGGGTTTCAGTGGCCTTTACTAATCTAATAACTTTGTTCGTAAAGCGCGTCTAGTGATTTTCGTGACTTGAATACGCCTTAACCTTCTCCTTTCTATATACCTGCCTAGCCGCTCTTTAAGTCGAGCTATCCAGTATAGCCGCAAAGCTTGGCACAATTAACAGGGCTCGGCTGGTGGCTTGCGGCAATAAGCTGGAAACACGCTCAAAACACGCTTGGTGTTCACGTTGTTTGCTCCATTCAAATGAGTATGGCTCAATGTACAGATTTACTAGCATTTGGTCCTGAAAGAACACTCACACTCTCTGTTCTTGGCCATTCCGGCCCGTCAGGGACCCCTAGCCATAACACACGTAGTCCTTCATCACACCAGCCCCGCATGGAACCTCCTAAGTCTGGTTATCATAGCAACCGCTCTTCCCCTCCAAATGACAGCAAGAGGCGAATCCGCCTACTTTCGTAAAGTCGTTCATCTCATCCGTCGTCATATACCACTTTCCATGCGCTTTGTCATAATTGTCCCAACCTTCCTTTTGGCCGCACTTGGCAGTTGGATAGACACCGTCATAAGGCTTCCCCTTATTGAAGCACGTATTTCTGTCTCTGCCGCACCAGTACCAGACATGATTCCAGGCTTGAGCCTCAGAGGCCAGAAATGCCAAGGCCACGGCGGTGGTGAGCACCTTCATAATCTCAACGCTGGATGGCGGACGGAAGAAGCGGTCTTAAATCAGAGGCCTTGAATTAGAGGCTAATCTTTTTCGTTAGCTAAAACAGATCCACATCTCATTATTTATCATGAGATGACTTACAAACCAAATAATACGCTTCTTGACAAGTATAGTAGCTTTGAGTCAAAATGTTATCTTTAATTTTTTTTTTTTTAAAGGGGGACTTACTCTTATAACCGGCAAGAGGCAGAGCGGGGTTGGCCATTTTAGCGGTAGGTATAACCTGTAAGAGTCGGATGGTTTTCCCCCCGATGATCATTTTGGCTCCGTCTTAGGCGGGGTTGGCCATTTTAGGTATTATTCGCAGGCGATTCTGCCAGAATCGCCCATACAAATGGGTCTGTGCGGTCAGTCCATTTCCGCAATATCGCTTACCGCTGAATCGTGTCGCTGATTGGTTCAAAGTCCCCGGAAATTCATATGGTCATATGAAGGTTAGGGTTGACGGGTGAGTTCAGAAAACAAAAACTACTCAAAACAAAACAAAAGTAAGGTTTATAATAGAGCAAGGTCATCCGAACTCAATGAGCGTAGACCCCTATTTTTATCTAGTCTGTGGAATAAGTGATAATGAATGAATGAATTTATTCCGCCCGGGAGGATACGCCTCATAAGGCCAAGTGATAATGATTTGGAGTATATCGTTGATTGATTCTGTTCCAGTCGGCTGCTGACATAAAAATATCTTGGCTCACGGTTAATTCAAACAGGTCTAGTGTGGTCCACTTTAAAAGTCTTGGCTCACGATTAATTCAATTGAGCTTAGCTTGCTTACTGAGTTACTTAGCCAAGCGCCTTTTCCCAATCTGTCGGATTTCGGATCACGCAATTCCCGACGCTGAGATTATGCCCTTCGGCCAAAAGGTATATCGTATGTCGCAGGGTAGGCATTAGTAATCTAGCTATATGCTTTAAGTAACTGTGCAGGATGGAATACCCCGCACAAGAGACAACTTAAGACATCAATCAACACATTTGCTGCTGCTCATCATATTCACTCTAACCCTTTAAGCACGCTCAGTGCGACACTAGGATACACGTCGTGCGCGCGTCGACACGTTCAGATCCCTCAAATAAGGTTGAACTCGAAACTCGGTGACAAAAGAAGCAAAGAAATCAACCAATCAAAGGGCTGGACCACCGCTTTGACTTGAAATTTGCTTGAGGTTTTGTATTGAGAGCCCTCTTTCAAGTGAAAGTGGAATGCGGGGTAAATACAGGGATTATCAGCCAATGACAATGCGAAACGTCCACTTTCATCGAAAGTGAATGAATCCATAGAGATGTAGCTTAATAGCTACTTAACAGTTGATTATCCCTTTGAGCGGTACAGCCCTTCAGCGGGGTCACGACAGGGGAATAAGACCAATCAAAATGAATAAAATTAACGGTACTTCTCCCCACATACTAATTTGCATGATGGTAAAAGTCCCAGCAGTTTTGATTGTTACAAAGAGCTACGTTACAGACTTGGCAAATATCTTACGAACTTCCGGTACCCCGCACGTACTAACCTTGTGACTAAGCAAAGTGGGGCGAGTGACCTCCTGAAGGGCTGTACCGCTCAAAGGGATAGCATCTCGCCCTTTATCTAATACGGCTTAGCCTGTATATGGCTTTTCTAACTTATTAGCTTTAGGATTAGATATATCTTATAGACCTGGCAAGCTATAATCTAGTAGTTAGGATTATAGGCAAAGCTGCCAAGACCTATAATATTAATATTATTATCTCTTCTACGGTCACAAGCCTACCACGGGGTCACCCGCCCCACTTTTTCCGCTTACTAGGCTAGTACCTGCGGGGTACGAAAGGTTCCCTGTCAGACAACTGCTTCAAAAAACACCACCAAATTCATCAAAATCCTTATACAAATTACTCCTACAGTGTCTCCAAGGAAACAATGAGCTCTCAAAAGATACAAGATTTCATAGACGATAGCAGCTTTAACCCCCCGCCTTTAAGAGCGGCTAATGACCCCACCGGCGTGCCTAATTTTCCGCCCGAAGAGAGCTGCGGCCGTGATTTTCAACCTTTCCACCTGCAGTATCGTGATTTCAAGATCGAAGCCCTGCCCCAAGAACCACTTGAATTATTCCAGCTTTTCCTACCTATTTCCCTTATACAGTCATGGATTAAATACACCAACAGCTGGGTCGCTTACTTGATCGAAAATGCCGTTATTGATAACTGGAACACCCCCCTGACCGAACATTCGCGTATCCTCAAGTGGGAAGGCCTCTCTACTGCAACAGCCTATGTATGGCTTGGAATCATGATTTACCTAGGAATTCATAGGGAAACAACGATAAGGGACCATTGGAAATCCCCTAGCCTAGGAGATCAACGCCCCCTTCACTCAATCATCAAGTTCATGCCCCTGACGAAGTTCGAGCTTATCACAAGGTATTTCCGTACCTTTGACCACACCAAGCTTGATGTGACGAATGAGGGGGACCTTCCAAAGACCTTCCAAGCGGCTGAAGAGTGGTCTAAACACATACAAATGGTGTCGTGTGAGCTCTATCTTCCTGGGACTAACCTCACTGTAGATGAGTGTATGGTCCCTTTTACAGGCAGATCAAAAGAGACAACAGTCGTCAAGAATAAGCCTACGCCGGTAGGCTTCAAAGTCTGGGCTGTTGCGCAACAGGGCTACTTTTTACAGTGGCTTTGGCATGTGAAGGCATCACCATACAAAGCTGTTATCGTCGAGCTACCTTTAGCGAAGCCCTATGGCAAGAAAGGAAAGCTACAAACCGAGATTTCTCTAAGCAATACACAGAGCGTCGTGGTTCACCTGCTAAAAAGGCTGCCTACTCAGACATATCACGTCTTTACAGATAATCTCTTCTCATCGCCGCAGCTCTTCCGTCATCTTCGGCAGCTTGGTATCGGGGCCACAGGCACGGCACGGCCTAACTGTGGTATCAACACCAAGATGAAGCAGATAAAAGAGACCGGAAAGGCCCCTGATGGCTCTATTTTAAAGTATAATGAGGTAGTATTTATCCCTACAGAAGATGACAAGGTAAAGACATCTTCTCTATATATTTCCCTTACTGATCTGTCTCTTTGATGTCCCCCTAGGTCATCCAAATTGCTTGGAAAGATAGTAATATCGTGCTTTTCCTTTCGACTGTGCATAGCGGAGCTTCTCATGAGCGCACACCAAAAAAAGAGGAAAATGCCCGCCAAAAGAGGCACAAAGGCAGAGCAACAACGCCTACAAGAGTACTTCAACGGGGAAAGCTTCAAGATAATCCCTATCCCTACTATTGCTGCTCAGTATAACGATGAAATGAATCACGTGGACCGCAGCGATCAGATACGGTCATATACAACGTATGAGCATCGCTTTCGCCGAGGGCCTTGGCAGGCGTTGCTATGGTCTTTCCTCCTTGAAGTCACACTTGCGAATAGCTTCATTTTACAGCGAGAAACGACACAGCCCCATTGGAAGCCCTACACAACACTAAAGGATTGGAAGGAATGTATCTATAATGCCATTTTTAACAAGTATGCTGCTGAAGGTCACACAAGAAAGAGAGGTTGCACAGGGAAAGAAGAAGACACCGAGGATATTAAAGCACGGCAAAATCACATACAAAGAGATATCAATCATGTCTACAGAGGCAGAAATAACCCTTCCCCTTGCCTAGCTTGCAAAGGCTTCCGCCAAGGGCAGCCTCGACCCTTCAAAAAAAGGAAGGGAAAAGGGGGCCCTCTACAGCCTCTATCAGGAAATGCGCGAGGCCCACTGAGCAGGTACGGTTGTAAGGTATGCGATGTAGCTTTATGTAACAATGCTGACTGTTGGTACCTATATCATACGCCAATTTAGGTGTGAGCAGAGGTACCGGCTGTCACGGTCATTTTGATTGGCTCCCCGCCCCAGTCGTGACATCGTGGTAAACTTGTGACCGCGAAAGAGATAATAGGTATTTAGGTTTTATTTAGTTTTATTTATTTATATTATTAATATATTAACGTGGTTGATAAGCATGCTGATCATCCAAGTATGCTGATCAAAAATTCCAGCCTCTAAACTTTAAATCCATTTAAAAACATAATAAACCATCTGATCAATTAAAACTACTTACCATACTCTTCCCCAGAGGTCTCAATCACTACCTGACACGTCCTTGCATTATGCCCGGCCTTGCCGCATACACCACAACGCCGACCACCCGGTCGCTCTGACCTTCCTCGACCACCACTTCTCGATGATTCGGCCACTACCTGCGCATTAACATCCATCTGATCAATTACTTGCGATGCATCCTGTACAGTCATTGCCCCTCCTTTCTGTAGTCTAGTCCTTTTTGCCCTCCGGCGCCGGCTTAGTATCTCATTTGCATCTCGAAGATTTCGGACCTCATTCCTTAATAAGATAACCTCATGCATAACTGCCCTTGTTGCTTTAGTATTTGACTTTAAAGCTTCTATTATTGACTCTGGGGAGCTGCTTTTATGCCTTCTGATTCGCTTTTCAAGGTATTCAGATTGAGATTGGGCCTCAATTGCTGTCTTGGGGGTCTTTGAAACCCATGGGGTTGATGGTTGGCTGACCTCCCCGGGAGGCGTTGGAGTCCGCAGCTGCACATCAAGCTTTGAGATCACGGTTTCTGGGTTAAGAGGAGCAAGTACAGCTCCTCTAAAACCGCCCCGGATATTATCTTCTGTAAAAGTAGCTTGAAAAGCGGCATAAAAGGCCAGGAAGAACTCGGTCTTAGAAATATGGGTTATAGAGCATCTGATCAGATGCTCTATTTCTCGACCATATGCCTTTTTCAGCACTGCAAAGCACCCAATATCGAGAGGCTGGAGTAGATGGGATGCATGAGCAGGCATACAAAGTGTGATAATCTTGTGATCCCGGCAGTATCTCTCAAAGTCGGCGGAGTGGTGGCTTTCGTGACCATCAAGGATTAGAAGACGATAGGGACCAGTTGATCGGTTAGTTGTAGACCGATCAAAGTGTTTTAGCCACTCAAGACCCAGCTCGTTATTTGTCCACCCATTTTGGCTAGTCGCAATAACCCAATCGCCCGGGAGGTTGCTTTCTCGGTACCAGTTGGCAAGGTGATATTTGCCTGCACCAATGATGAACGGCGCGATCGATTGACCTTCCGCATTAATCGCCTGGATTACTGTAATCCATTCACGATTTCCAGGCTGCACTGATTTTGGTCTTCCTTGCCTTTCTGAGCCTGTGACTGCCATTCCGGCCATTATGAGGCCCATCATAAAGCCAGTCTATCAAAGTTCCAGATATCATCTGATCGGATACCATACTTCACAATT